GGCTTTTCGAATATCAATTAGAAAAGCTATCATAATTTTTCTTGGTGAATATTAATAGGAGTACTCTTGTTCAAAAAATTTTCTTATTGGATTGGTTTAATACATGGATGGTCCAAAAATGAGTCAAGTACTTCCACTTCAACCGGATATTTAATAAATGGGAAGGACTTGCACATTTAAATTAGAGTATTTTTGTGTTTGCATTGAAAAGAACAAGAATAATATTAATTTTCACCAATGACAATCGATTATTGACTATAATTTTATACTTCATGTAGTCGGGTATTTCCTTTAATAAATTTAACATTTAGAATATCATTTCAAGTTTCAGTGATTAATGTTTCAAAATTATAATTGAAATATTGAAGATTAATAAGTTGTCAGTGTTTGGTCCTTTAATAAACAACACCCTGATCAATTAACTAATTAAATCACAACTTAATCATATGATTTTATAATTTTATTACTTCAATAAACTAAATTCTTTTAATTTTAATAGCAATATTGAGTTTTCGGTTCACGTAATTAAGTTCTTTTTGTACATTCATCTGTAATTATTCTATTCGTTTAGGTTAGCGCTATGAAATCAGATACACTGTGAAAATTACCGCCAGGAAGGAAATGCCAACATATTCTGTGTTTTTTTTTTTTAGAAAGGAGCCAACATATTCTGTGTTGAATGATTCCCGTATTAGAGATTTCATTTGATATTAAGTTCCAAAATCAATGCTTTAATATTAGCAATACAGCACTACTTTCTCATTTTGGACACTATATATTAAATATTCGATGAGAAATGGATATTCCATTTTTAAAATATTATTGATTATTGATGTTTGATAAGATTTTATGAATCCAAATGTAATTTAATCGTCCATATCATTAATTCTTGATAATCTTCTCACTCTTTGTGCTCCATGCATGCATGCAGCTGGAAAACTTCCATAGGAAAATAATATTTCATGGAGAGGTGACTCATGCTTGAAGGATGAAATAGTTGGCGGCTACTATGACTCTGGTAGTGCAGTGAAGTACACTTCACCTACATCTTTTTCCATCACCATGTTGAGTTGGAGCGTGATCGAATACAGCGCAAAATATGAAGCTGTTGGTGAATTAGATCACGTCAAGAACATAATTAAATGGGGCACTGACTACCTTCTCAAGACCTTCAACTCCTCATCTAAGGATTCAATTGGTAGTATTGCTTCACAGGTTGGGGGAGAATATGATCTCCATTGCTGGATGCGACCAGAAGATATTGACACTGATGATAACAACCCACGTCGAGCAACCACATGTTATAACTGCCCAGCCTTGGCAGCAGAAACTGCTGCTGCATTAGCTGCTGCGTCCATTGTATTCAAGGACATTGACTATTCGAAGAAGCTTGTCCATGGTGCTGAACTGTTATTTAGATTTGCTACAAAAGGTCAAGGTGAAAACTATTCAGGCGGTTCAGATCCATCCTCAACTTTCTATAACTCCAGTGGTTTTTGGGATGAGTTTGTTTGGAGTGGAGCTTGGTTGTATTGCGCAACAGGAAAAACTTCCTATCTTCAACTTGTTACCTCTCCGGACCTGGCAAAAAAAGACTATGCTTTCTGGGGAGGCCCGAGTCGAGGTATACTTAGTTGGGACAAAAAGCATGCTGGTGCTCAGTTGCTTCTAAGCCGTATGAGAATTTTCCTGGGTTATGGCTACCCATATGAAGAAATGTTGAGGACATTTCACAAACATACAGAAGAAATCATGTGTTCGTATCTACGGGTTTTCCCATACTTTCATCGAACCAAAGGAGGATTGATCCTAGTAAACAATAGGAGACCACGGCCTCTTCAATATATAGTGAATGCAGCTTTCATGGCTATCCTTTACAGTGATTATCTTGATGGCAAATTGGTTTCAGGATGGCAATGTGGGGCTAACTTTTACACAACTGAAACTTTGCGGGACTTGGCGAGAAAGCAGATTAATTACATCCTCGGAAAAAATCATCAGAGTATTAGCTATGTTGTAGGATTTGGCAATCATTTTCCACAGCATGTGCACCACAGAGGCGCTTCAATTCCGAACGATAAGGTCAAGTATGGCTGTGAAGGAGGATGGAAATGGAGAAATACTCGAAGGCCAAATCCAAATATTATTGTTGGAGCCATGGTTGGCGGTCCTGACCAAAGAGATGATTTCCAGGATATCCGTTCCAATTACAATTACACAGAGTCAACCATTGCAGGAAATGCAGGTCTTGTTGCTGCACTGGTAGCTTTATCAGATGGACCTGGAAACTCTTCTGAAATTGACAAGAATACGATATTTTATGCAATTCGTCCATTTTGAATCGCCACCTACATCACCTTGGACACTATCAGATACTGAGATGCTTCTATAGTACTCATTTCTTCACAAGAAAATTTGACTTGTTATCAGATCAGGATTTTCTGGACAAAACTTTCCAGTATCCAGTATGGATATAACTGCATTGATTTTCATGAAAGTTGTATCATCCCCACTTAAAGATGAAACTATATGCTGTTAGTTCACCAATTCAAAAATTCTTCTTTGCTACTTTCTCAACCGCTTCGCTTTCTTGCTGAGTATGCTAATAAAATTATTTTTCAACGAAATGTGAAATAAAATGAATTAAAAAATACTTTTTTTTTAAAAAAAAAAAGTAGAAAGAGAGAGTAGAGTTCAAAAAAAGTCTACTTTAAACAAACAGGAGAGAGGGAACCCACGAAAATTGAAATAACCATTAACTAAGATATAAGGGAGGAACCAAAAAATAAATCCCAAAAATTATGTTATTGGCCTCATTTTGGTTTGTAGTTGCATCAGCCAAATGTTTACGGAGCAACGTTGCTAACTTGGAAAAAATCATGTATATTTGTAATAGAATTAAAGTATAACTATAAAGGCACAAGCATACAAAATAACAAAGAAAAGAAAATAGCAGTAGAATTTTCATGCAAAATAATTTATAATTTATTTAAATGAAATATCAAGAGTGGAATGTAATTTCCTAAATTAAATTTGAAATAAATGTATATATGTTAGTCTAATTAAATGTATCTATGGCTTCGTTTGTTTCCGTAAAATAATTTGCAGGAAAATATTTTCCACAATTTTCTATTGTTTGAGACGCTCAGAAAAATAAGTCAATTGGAAAATATTTTCCTGGTCAAAGGAAAATTAAATCATTTTTTAAAGAAAACAACATTCCATTTTCGAGAGAGTAAAATATTTTCCGGATATTGACAAACTTTATAAATTCATATTTTTTAATTTATTAATCATTATAGTTACTACCACTAGTTACCATTTACCACTGGTCACTACCACCGGCTACCACCATCGGTCACCACCCGCGGCTTTCATAATTTATATGCAAAATAGAGTGGTGAAGTGCTCTATCTATAATGAAATATCAGAGATGGATATGTTAATTTCTCAATAAATTATGCCAAAATACTGAGTATATATGTTTAGTCTTAATTAAATGTATACTATGCATTCCAACAGAATTGTGTTCCGTTAAAATAATATGCAGGAAAAATATTTTCCACAAATTTTCTATTGTTTGAGACGCTCAGAAAAAATAAAGGTTCAATTGGAAAATAATTTTCCTGGTTCAAAGGAAGAGAATAAAAAATTCCTTTTTTAAAGTAGGGAAAACAAACAATATACCATTAATTCAGAGAGCGACTAAAATATCTTCTTCCGAATATTGTGACAAACATAATACAATTCATTATTATTTAATTTATTTTAATCCAATATAATTTACTGAACCACTAGAGTTAGCCATTTTCACCCACCCTGCTCCCACATACCACCGGCTAACCACCATCAAGGGTGCAACACACCGCTGGCTCTTTCATTAATTTATATATAATATAGATTATATTATATATATTATGCATTTCAATTATATATATTACACCAGAGTGAATAATTTTAAATTTATAAAAAAATTTAATAATATTATATTAATATTTTTATGAGTATATGAGATGGAAATATTTTAATATTTTTAACTAATTTTATTATTACAACCAAATAAGAGAAAATAAGTAATTTAAAAAATATTTTTGAGCAGTTATTATAGTTCTCCCTGGATAAATTATAGTGATACCGAGATCTCCAGCCATCTTAAAGTTAAAGAGTTCTTAATTTTTCTAAAAGTACCGGATTTACAACCTAGTTAAGTATCAGTTTTCTCTCTATTTCTTTTTTTTTTTGTTTGTACTTTCTTTTTCGGTAGAGATGATTCAAAAAGATACAGACGAATAATATAATAGTGCATTCTTGATATCCAATTCGCAACAAGTCATAAAACATATATATTACTATTTTTTTTCTTTTCTTTTCTTTTTTTTTTTTGGCAAATTAAGCAGTGCGTGAGAGTGGCGTGTCCTAGGTTTCATCAAGTTTAAACATTTAGGCGAATTAGCTATAAATGTGAACCAATTTGAAAAGAAGTTAAAATTTTAAAAAAATATAAAAAAAAAATTAAATGCCAGAAGAGAAAAAAAAATTTAAGATTTCCAAAAATTAAAAATATTTTGAATTGAAAGGAAATACATTCAAAATAATTTCTTTTCTTTTTTTTTTTTTTTTGCAAATAAGCTCTAATTCTGTCCTAGTTTCATCAGTTAAACATTTAGGCATTAGCTATAAATTTTGAAAAATTGAAAGGTTAAGATTAAAATATAAAAAATTAATTGCCAGAGAAAAAGAATTAAGATTCAAATTAAAATTTTTGTTGAAGGGAAATATTCAAATTAATTAATACCTATTTAAATTGTTAACAAATATTACTTAGAATATTATCCTAGGGCCAGAAAAGCAAGAACATTTACGGCGGCGGTACGTTAGAGCCCTTGAACTTCAAATTCAAAAATCACAGTGGCAGTTTACGTTAATACGAACCAATCCAGGCCCACTTTTTATAGTCCCGGTAGTTGAATATTGAAAGAAACCCTCCTATAACAATACCATACCATATCATTCCTTCTCATTCGATCCACGTTCAATAAAAATCCAAAAGCCCTTCCCTCCCTCGTTCTCCAGGCACTTCTTTCAAACCAATCAAGCAAAGCAAATCTCTCTTTTTATTTTGTCTTTTGTTTGATTGGATTTTGATTCGATAAACGACCATGTCGTTGAGGCCAAGTGCTAGGACGGAGGTGCGGAGGAATAAGTACAAGGTGGCGGTGGATGCCGATGAAGGGAGGAGGAGGAGAGAAGATAACATGGTAGAGATCCGGAAGAATAAGAGAGAAGAGAACTTGCAGAAGAAGCGACGTGAAGGACTCCAGGCTCAGCAGCAACAGCAACAGCAACTCACCTCGTCATTCACCAATTCCGCTAACGATAAGAAGGTTTTTCTAATTTTACTTTCTTTAACTTTTTGTATTTGTTTCATTTTTCTTTTAACTGCTCATTTTGGATCTCTATTTTAGCTAGATTGATTTATTTTTTATCAATTTTATCAGTTTGATAATAAACGAGGAGTGGATATTAGTTACTTGAAACTTGAAAATTTGTGCTGACATTTGTTATTGAACTGTTTGGAAGGCTTAAAAGAGATTTAACACTGTGAATTCTGGTGTTGAGTAGGAAAAAGGGACTTGATATTGTGTTTGCTAAGGAGAAGTGACGAGTCCGGTTGTGGATGTGTGAATCTTTTGGATTAATATGAAGTGGTCTTCTTGGATTATGATTCGATGAATTTAAGTTTATAGATGTATTAATTAATACTGAGATTTGATTATGGAGTTGGAACTTAAGACTTACAAGTCGCGGGGGTCTTCGCTTTAATATTTGATCTGGAAATTTCTTAGCACTTTGCGGGAAATTATACCTTGCCAATACTGTTGCTTTGGAATAAAAGAAGTTTATTATCTACCCTTTGATTCTCGTGGTTTGTTTTTAAACTTAGATGCTTGATTTCTTTTTTCTTTTGAATTTGCGGAAATGATGTTCTTATTACTGTGATTGCAGTTAGAAAGTCTTCCAGTAATGGTTGCAGGTGTCTGGTCTGAAGAACAGAATTCACAGCTTGAGGCAACAACTCATTTCCGAAAGCTGCTCTCTATAGGTTGATTTTGGTTTTTGTTTTTATTGTCTCTGCTGTTGTAATATTTTGAGTTGAATACTTGATGGATATAGTTTCTTACTTGGAATCTTCTATACAGAGCGCAGTCCTCCAATCAATGAAGTTGTGCAAGCTGGTGTTGTTCCTCGTTTCATTGAGTTCCTTGCAAGGGATGATTTTCCACAGCTTCAGGTTTGAACTTTGCCATCTTCTTTTGCTATGGATCATTATGATTATAATTATGAATCCATATTTCTTAGCAATTTTTTTTTTTATTGTTTCATCATTGTTAGTTTGAGGCGGCATGGGCTCTCACAAATATTGCTTCTGGAACATCAGAGAATACCAGGGTCGTAATTGATCATGGGGCCGTCCCAATATTTGTTAAGCTTTTAAGTTCGCCAACTGATGATGTTAGGGAACAGGTAAATGACCTCAATTTTGTTTGTTTTTTGATTTACTGTTGCCTTAAGGTTTGAATATTCAAACTGTATTCTATGGCTGCAATCCAAATTTCATATTGAATGCCTTGTACCACCCTTCACTTTTTTGTCTTGAATTATAGGCTGTTTGGGCATTAGGAAATATTGCTGGTGACTCACCAAAATGTCGGGATCTTGTCCTTGGTCATGGGGCCTTGATGCCATTGCTCGCACAGTTCAATGAACATGCAAAGCTTTCTATGTTGAGAAATGCAACGTGGACTTTATCTAACTTCTGCAGGGGCAAGCCACAACCTTTATTTGAGCAGGTTTGACTCTCAAGATTGGTTATTGGTAGGAGGTGTGATATTTCCCCTTTTATATAATGGTTCTTACTAACATATGTACTGTTCATATTCAATGAGCAGACAAAGCCTGCCCTCCCAGCTCTTGAGCGTCTTATACATTCAAACGATGAGGAAGTTTTGACAGATGCATGCTGGGCACTTTCGTATCTCTCAGATGGAACCAATGACAAAATTCAAGCTGTTATTGAGGCAGGGGTCTGCCCCAGGCTTGTTGAACTTTTACTGTAAGTAATGTTTTGATTTTTGGCTTTTCTTATATTTTTAGATGAAAATTTTAACCTTTATGTAGCTGCAAAAGCTGAAGTGGTTTGTACTTGTTCTTTTGCTAGCCATCCATCTCCAACAGTGCTCATACCTGCTCTACGTACAATTGGAAATATTGTCACTGGTGACGACATGCAGACTCAGGTATAATTTTCCCACGCTGCCCTGTCCTTGCCCTGTCCCTATTTCTTGATATACACCTCTTGTTTCCTTGCCATCTTGTTTTAGTAATTTCTTGTTATCATTCTGTTGATTGGATGAAGGGCATCAATCCGTCATTATGTTTTGTAGGTTTTCCTTTCTCTATTTTAAAATGGTCTCATATTTAAATAACAATTGCATAATCTGAAAGTGTACAATGTTTTATGGGTCTATATCTACATTATAATTTTAGAATCACCAAATGGAATGACTATTTTGGCTAGTTGGACATGATATATGTATGTATATATTTCTTATGGTTGGGTGTGTGGGAGTAGATGGGTGTGGATGTGTTTCAGGCAACAACTAGGGATATTCTTACTGTACCATATGCGATATACTTTGAAGGTCAGATAAACTCTCTAGTGTTCTTTATCTAAGATTAGTATTGAGACCATGTGAAACCTGCAACTTGAGTGCAGCTGTAAGAAAAGTAATATTTGTGTCAAATATTATTATCTGTGGCTAAAATTTCACTAGTGCATGATATGCATAATGTATGTTCAGTGTGGGATATTTGAAAATTTTACATGGCTTCTAGTGCTATTATGATCCTTCTGAGTTCTGGAAAAATGAGCTGATGCATCATCTTACTCCTGATCTCAGTGTATAATAAACCATCAAGCTCTTCCGTGCCTTTTGAATCTCCTGACACATAATTATAAGAAGAGCATCAAGAAGGAAGCATGCTGGACAATCTCAAACATCACAGCTGGAAATGTAAATCAAATACAGGTGAGTGGGTCTCTTCCATTATGTCACAGCGTCTTAGGCTTCCCTGCACATTCCATTGCATTGTTTCATAATAGTTCATTGTCTCATATCTCTGGATTATTCATATGCTGCGGTATATTCTGAGGCTAGTGGTACTCCTGGCGATTTTCAGCTTTAATGGTTATGTTTATTGCCTATTTGAAATGAATTGTATTTTGAATCTATGCAGGCCATAATTGATGCTGGTATTATCGGTCCGCTTGTTCAACTGCTCCAGATTGCTGAATTTGAGATAAAAAAAGAGGCTGCATGGGCAATTTCAAATGCTACTTCTGGTGGCTCACATGAACAAATCAAGTATATATTCACTTCCATAATCGATCTTTTTATTTGCTCAGCAAGTTTTGATCCATGCATGTCACTAAAAGATTATGTTTTATTTATGCATTGTAGGTTCTTGGTGAGCCAAGGGTGTATTAAGCCATTGTGTGATCTCCTGATTTGTCCTGACCCAAGGATTGTAACAGTTTGCTTGGAAGGGCTTGAGAACATTTTAAAGGTTGGTGAAGCTGAAAAAAATTTGGGCAACAGTGGAGAAACAAATCTGTATGCCCAATTGATTGATGACGCAGAGGGGTTAGAAAAGATTGAAAACCTTCAGAGTCATGACAACCATGACATATATGAAAAAGCAGTGAAGATTCTTGAGACTTATTGGCTGGAGGAGGATGAGGATGAGACACTACCTTCTGGTGATGCTTCCCAATCTGGATTTCACTTTGGAGGCAATGAAGTTCCCGTTCCTTCCGGTGGATTTAAATTTGGTTAAGGTATGCAAACTTAATTCCCATGAATGCTCTTCAGATACTAATCTTGTTCAAAATGTGACTGTGCCAACCCTTCTGGCTAGTAGGTGACTAGGTGTCTTCTTCCCTGAGAGTGTGCAAACATACGAGTTAATGGTGATGAGAAGCCAGCCCCTCTCCCCCCCCCCCCCCCCCCCCTCTTCCCTGAGAGTGTGCAAAACATCGAGTTAATGGTGATGAGAGCCAGCCCGTCTCTCCCCCCTCCCCCCCTCCTTTTTCCTGTTTTTTTTGGGTGGGTTTGGACAGAAGCATATGAGCTACCCCCCCCCCCCCCTCCTTTCCTGTTTTTTTTGGGTGGGTTTGGACAGAGCATATGAGCCTATTCACTCCTATTATTGTTTTTAATAAAGTTTTAAACCATGAAAATGGGAAGGATTAATTTGCACTTAAATGCCATCTCTGTTTTATACTTTCAGCATATAAGGTCGCTGGTGGAATGAAGCTGAGAGTCCAGGTTCCTGTTTTCGTTGGGCGGTGAAGGCACTTGCCCTTGGGTCCTGTTTTGGTCCGGTTTCTAGAATGCCATTGAATAAAGCAGGCGTGTGGATTCAAGAATTGCATTAAATGGTAAAAACTTATCACTGATAATTAGCGTTGCTGGTGGAAACTACACAAACATAGTCCATTGCTTTCATTTTTCTGTCAGTTTTTGTTCATTTTTTATTGTTCTAGATTTTTTTTTTTTTTCCATTTAATTCCAAGGATGGACATGTAATCTGCGTGCATTTTCCTGGTTTATGAATACGAGTTAGAGCAATTAAATATAGAAAAAGGCTACATATGTTAAATATTCTGCTTCCAGAGACAATCGGGTTCTCGAGATTTTGTCCTTTGTAGCATTTGTTAGTTTGGAGGATCAAATTTTTTGATCGGTTGATTATTAATGTCAAAAATGCAATTATTAGTCTGCTCTTTTGGATGGAACCTCTTATGCTCTGATAAATGATTATTATCGCTGTTATTTCTCTTGTTGACTTCTCATTTTCTTTTTTATGTCTATTAAGTCCTGTCAATTTCTCATTATCCTAATAATCCTGATAAGATTTCATCATCCTCTGCTGAGCTGTTGTGGGGACCATAAAAATCGGCTTCATGTTACCTAAAAAAAAAAAAGGTTCGCATTATATTTACAAAAATATCTACAGCTTCGTTTACTCTTAGTTGCTGTCGACAGATTAAAATTATAATTACATCAGGTAAGAAATTCTGGAAGGGGAAAGACTGGAAACTTCAAATTCAATCAAATCTTGGTTTTGCTGAGTTGTAGTTTAATACAAATTTAAGCAAAGAATCGATCAGAGGCAAACTTTTTTCCAAATCAAAAAAATAAAATAAAATAAAAAGTATGTACTACGGTCCCGCAGGGAATTATTGAAGTTACACGTTTCGAGACCTTGTGGTTGATTTTACGTTGATTAGAGAGATGAGGCATTGCCAATTTGCCATGACGATCCAAAGCTACATTGTCCTTGTTAACCGTTACGACGAAAACACCCCTAAACTGCACAGGACACTCAATCGTCAATACTAGAGCGAACGAGGAGGGTATTTCAGTAATATCTTCAATACTCGAAATGCCTGTTGTACTGTAGAACAGTAGAAGTATCCACCGTCAGTACAAGAAGAAAGAACTCGGAAGTAGCACAGAAGCCGCCATCAGACAAGGTTACAACTGTAGTACTCGTGACTAGGGTTCTTTTTTTTGTCCCTATCTCTTCCTCCATAATTCATTTGCGGTATTTTTATACTTTTGAGAGTATCAATCAACTGTTTACTCGGAAATAGGGCATATTTCATCAATGCTTCTATCTCTTTCTCTCTTTTATTTTTGACACTATTTCTAAAATCTGAAAATAACAGACATGAAAAGCCAACTATCTTCAAGCGATGACGATGAAGTTGACGCGTACCCATCATCACCTTTGGTGACGAGTTGTTGGTGGAGATCAGCTGCTAAGTTTGAAGAATGTGCAAGGCTTAAGCATGGCTTTCCAAATATTTCAAGTCTGACTCCAAGACTTAGACTTTTTAGGGAGCTTGAAAGATTAGCTTTAATTGCACATGAAGGACTTAATGAGCTACGTTACAAATTACAAATCTATCGGTCCGGTGATTATTGGGTACCTACTGGAGGATTAAAGAAAGAAGAAATGGATATTCCTCCGATTGTTACAATTCTTTTGGTGGGTTTCTCTTCTTCTGGAAAGAGCTCACTTGTTAACCTAATGTACAGTGTTCTTGGTCGAACCGGACTCGTTCTTTTCGCTCAAACAAAGTCAGGTAATTAAAGCGCACATTTCTTTAATTTCTATGTTTTAAAAATTAAATTTGAAATATAATTTCACAGTTCTGAAAATAATTTTTTTTAACATGATTTCAGGAAGTGGTAAAAAGAACTATACGACAATGTTCATGGAAGAGCACAATGTATTAAGATCAATAAAAAGTGGGTTTTGCGTTTATGATTCAAGAGGGTTTAATTATGACAAAGTAGGAGAGGCTTTAGAAGAATTGTCAAGTTGGATGAGTGATGGAGTGCACCATAACCAGCTATGCTTGAGATCAGGAGATCATAATGTTTTGCTAAAAGATATTGATGCAGAACAATTATCTTCTAGAAATTCTTCAAAGTTTATACAGAGAAGAGTAAATTGTGCAATGGTGGTGGTTAACGTAGCTGAAGTTTATAAAGCTCTAAAAGCTGGTGATTCCAAGCCTTTAGAGGCTACAAAAGAACTCTTTTGCTCCTCTGCTTTGAGAAACTGCAGTAAGCTCTCTCTAATTTGACTCTCAAGTACTTTCTTTAGTTATTTTTTTAATATTTCTTACACTTAATTTGACGTATAATACATTTGTGATTGCAGATGAGAATCCCATCTTGATCTTGACACACGGCGACTTATTAACAAGTGAGGAGAGAATTGAAGGCAGGCTAAAGATATGTGAAAGTTTAGGCATATCAGAGACAAATGGGATATACGATGTCGTTTGCCTTACAGAATATGGATTTTTAGCAGAAGAATCTGACCCTGTTAGTGCTTACAATGTAGCTGAAGCAGTATATAGGGCATTGCTCATTTCTGACAGGGAACACTTGCCAAAGAAAACTTTGCAAGACTGGACGCTCTTCATATTATCATGGCTAATGTCTCTCATGGCTATTTTTTTCGCTTTTCTTGCTCAAATTTGCTCTGCACTTGGACATAGCAACAAGCTGAAGCGTTAAAATTTAAAGAGAAGGAGATTAGGAAATACATACATATATATTTTCTGTATATTATATTGTTATGTGTTGTTTAGCTTATAATGACAATTTTAGTTAGGCTAACTGAATATCTGTTTAATCTCAAATTAGTTTAGTTTTATAATCTATATATTAGCTAGGGTTTTCAGATTCTTATCCTCCAAATGATATTTTATTGATTTTGCTGATATATGATCAGAATTGGTTATTAATGCTCATATGGGTTCAAGATTTTATTAACATTTGCATATCAGAAGGAACAGAAAACAAGTATTTAAAATTAATTTGCCTTCAATTTGAATTTAAATGAAGTTGAAAAACACCATTTTTTTAGTTTTATATGTGGAACTGAGTAAAATAGTTACAGACATGATTTCCTGTAGTCGAGGAGGATACAGCTTTCAGCCATAACCAACATCCACTTTTTGAACTACGATCTGCAAAAGGCTTTTCTTTTCTAATTAATATTAATTAAGGTCATGGCTCCATTATTCAACGTGCTTTGGGAGACCAGACATGATGGTGGAATTATTTTTCAAAAAGAAAATAAAGTACAAAAACCAAAGAATAATTAAAGCACCAATGTTTAAAAAATAATAAGTGGCAGCAAGAAGGTTTGGCTATGGGATGCTGTTGCTGTCTGTGGAGGTTGAAGACAAAAGAGATAAAGACATGGATAGGTGTCTGTGTTTATGGACCAGAATCTATGGGCCGGGTTTTTGTCTCTTCCTCTATCGTGTTATGTTTTTAACATTTTAGTTACTGCCCTTACTTTTTCATCTTACTCCCCTGTCGTCTCTGTTTAGAAAATTCAGAAATGTAAAACGACAAACATCACAACTTCTCAAGATTCTTCTCCTTTCTACTATCACTATCATTAACGCCCAGCGCTCTTACCCTCCAAAGCCATTTCTGGCAGCGATTTTCAACATGAGCACCAATTAGTGAAAGTAAAGACCAATCTTTGTTTGATAAAGCTAATGCCCTCAAAATATTGTAACGTAGCTCTCCGAAATCAAAATTTTATTTATTTAAAATGGTTAAGTCCCTTTTATTCGGACCAACTTGCATTGGCTATAGATTATTAATTTATTATAGCACACAAGTATCCGGTGTATCATATAAACTAGCATGCAACAGGATCAGATGAGGTAGGAAAAGAGGGTATTTTGGTCAAACTAAATAAAATTAATAATAGAATTAGGGTTTTTGCGCCGCAGCACCAGAATCAAAATTGAGCACAGACAGTACCGACCTACTTACGTATTTAGTGAGCCAAATGTTTATACTATCAACTAAAACCTTACCCTTTTTCCTATTCCCCTGTTTTTCTCTGTTTCCTCCTCTGCTCTTACAAATTAAGTGACACTATCTATTCACCGTCGCTGAAACCCTTTTACTCCTCTCTTAGAACTTCTATATGCAATATTTTCCCTGCGATTAGTTATTCTCATCTTCTAATTTGTTCTTAGCTTATGTGCATGGTAATTGCTGTGTCCAACACTTGAGCACTTGTAATCTTGGAAAGTTCTGCCTCTCCACTCTCTAATAATGAGGATTATTGATTTGAACAAGAATGTAATAATCTTATCCTTATTGAACAGACTTCTTCTTTTATTTTCTTTTCTTGTTTTAATTAATTAATTGATCATACCATGTATTGATGTACGTCTTTCTTCATGTTCTTAAACAGGATCAAGAAACAGAGGAAACACTTAATAACACTCCTTCAAGCAATTGTAGTGAGTTAAAGAAAAGCTGCACAGATTGTCACACCACAAGAACACCTTGCTGGAGAGTAGGTCCAGCTGGTCCTAAGGTTTGTATCATTTTTCAGTAAACATTTATGATCTTATTTATCCTTTTTTTTTTTTTTTTTTTTTTTTACACCTTGCTGGAGGAGTTAGGCTCCCAGCTGGTCTAAGGTTTGTATCATTTTCAGTAACTTTATATCTTTTTTTTTTTTTTTTTTTTTTTTTGGCATATATGTTTCAATGCTATGTACTTACTCTGATTTACTGAACCTTGTTTGTAGACTTTGTGCAATGCCTGTGGAATCAGATACAGAAAGAAGAGGAGGGATCTTTTCGGTTTGGACAAAGGAGGAAAAGATAAGAGTAAAAAGAAGATTGCTAAAAGTAGTAGAAGTAAGCTAGGAGTTCCATTGATGATTTCTGGAAGAGAGATGTTATTGCAGGAACAATGGAAAAGAAAGCTGGGAGAAGAAGAACAAGCTGCCTTTCTGTTGATGGCTTTATCTTATGGCTGTGTCTCTGCTTAGAACAAAACTATTGTAGCCAAAAAAAAAAAAGAAAAAAAAAAAGGGATGAGAATTGTAAAACTAGAAGAAGACGATGTTATCAATCAAGAAAAGAGAATACATAAAATTATTTTTCTTTAATTTTCACGTAGTAGTAATATATTGTGTTGGCTTTTGGATGCATAATATTTCATGTTTCTTCAATTTGTGTTCGACTATACATCCAAACATTTTCAGCAGAACATAATATATTTTCCTTTGTGTTAATATTCATAAGTGTAATACTATCTCAAAACTGATGCATTTCTATTATTTTCATTTTATTTTTTAATACTTCAATTGATCTAATTTTAGTTTTAACAACTTTTGTGTCCCCTCTTCTTTTAATTAATAGTTTGAATTTAACTTTTTTTCTCCAAAACCATTTTTTTTCCCTTTTTCACACACTAAAAGAAAGATTAAGATTTTCTAATTACTAATTTTATTGATAAAGTTAATTTGTTTTTCATTTAATAGAATTGTATTCAAATGCGAAATGTGTGAAGTATGAATGTGATTTTTTTTTTTTTTTTTTTTTTTTTGGATTTTTTTTTTTTTTTTTTTTTTTTGGTAATTAATGTGAAAGTGAAATTTTTTACCTTGCCGAAGCTGTTAAACTGATAAATTAAATAGAAATCCAAATCGATTTTTTTTTTTTTTTTTTTTTTTTTTTTGGTAATAATGTGAAAGTGAAATTTTTACCTTGCCGAAGCTGTAAACTGATAAATTAAATGAAATCAAATCGATTTTTTTTTTTTGGGGGTATGATAAGGAGGTATAATTTCCTTAATCCATAGAGCATATAAATTTGTCTGTGATTTATTACTTAAATTACTACCTTGCTAGTCAAATCAAACCGATTTAAAGCAAATTTAATTTTCGTTTGGTTTCTCCTTTAAAATCAAGTTTTGACTTGACTTTTGATTAATGATGATGCCCCTTAGACAATTTAAGTAAGTATACTACTAGAAGCAGGAAGTAACTTCTCCTTCTATCCAGATGTCTCTCTCCACAAGCAACACGAACACAACACAAAAGTACTGTTGCCACGTCAATAAAACTAAGACACGTGTCCTGACGAAACATCTCCACTTCTCTAGAATGTCCTCTCTCTCTCTCTCTCTCTCTCTCTAGTCTTCCCTTCCCCTTCATATCTTCTTTCTCCTTTACCTCGTCTGATTCGGAAATTGTTCATTGAAAGATTTCATCAAGAAAAGAAAAAAATGGAGCAATCAAGATTAGCTACAACCGCAACAAGACTGTATAGGATCCTATTTTTAGCACAGAATCAAGCTCGGCAACGAGGATTCGCCGCCTCTTCCACTGGTCGTGTAGCTGACCCTGATATTTTCTCCACGGAACGTGATCGTGAATTGAAACCCACCGTTCCCTCCGGAGAACCCGAAGTAACAAGACAGACTCACTATTTTTACTTACTAAAATTTAAGTACAATGTTAAATTTTCGTTGTTTATAATATTGAATAATTGATATATATGGAATTGGCAGGAAACAAGAGATCACTACGAGCCTGAAACAGCCAAGCGAGGAACGGAAGCTGAAGCAGAAACAGAACACAGGACCAGTAAAGAAACTGAACCACTGGCGCAGTCGAAACTGCCATATGCTTCTTCTCCTAGGCTGGAAAGCATTGGAGTGAATCATCCTCTAGATCCCTATGTTCAACAAAAACGGGAAAACTCGACGGTGACTGCGGAAGAAATAAGCTGCGCTGGTCTAGATGGTACGCCTTTGCCGGAAGATAAGGAAACGCAAGGAGAAGAAGATGAAAATGAATACTACAGACATCACAAGGCGTCCCCGTTGTCGGAGATTAAGATGGCGGATACTAGGACACCAATAAGAAGGGCAACTGATAGCACAGCCGATGCTGGCTTGGGCAGAGACGTAATTGGATGGTTGCCGGAGCAGCTTGACACGGCTGAAGAGGCGCTGGAAAGAGCTCGTAGGATATGGATGGAGAATGCTATGCGTGGCGATCCTGATTCACCACATGGACGGATTTTGAGAGAGCTTCGTGGAGAATGGTTTTAAGTTCTGACAGGAGATATAATTATAAAAAAAATCAGTATGTTTGGTGTAATTCCTTTTGTTTCTTACAGCAATCTTTTAGACTTCTACGTTTGAATAATGAAGCCCACATGTAAAAGTTCCAAAGATGGCCAATTGTGGTATAGTAATGTAATAGAGACCGAAATTTTAACTCAAGAATTGATAATACTTGGAACACTACCAAATCCAATTTTTGAGCACATGCAGAAGGATCCAATTACAGACAAAACTTTCATTTTTAACAGAATGAGGATGCAAAACGACATTTTAAAATGTCGGCAATTTAGTTTGGCAGAATCCAAGTAGAGTTTCTTCACTACAAAGTGATATAAGACGGAATTCTTAAATACTAAAACGACAATGGTCAATTTTATATCAAGTAACACGGTTACTTCGCCATTTGGCATGCATCAGTTGAACACCGGCTCTAGCTCTTAATCATCAATCTTTTCCCTTTTGGCCAACACTGAAAATTCATTTCACATGCAAAATTTTGTTATTGAAATTTTAATTTCCGGCCTCTTTTAATACAAAAATAAATAAATAAATAAATATGAATGTTTGCGAAAATAATTTTTACTACTGATCTTCTCATTAGTATAATTTTTTGGACCAGATGATACTGATAGGCTAACGAAGGTGCGTGAAAGTGTGAAACTCATTATTAAAATGGGATAAGGACCACTATTTTTGTAAATTTTATTTTGTTTGTATTTTTTATATTGTGATAATTGTTCATGAAAATGGTGCGGTCACCAATACACACACCATATGTACCCATATTTGGCTCTTCGCTCTTTCTCCATCATATAATAGTAACACTAAACCTACACTTCTCTTTATCTCCAATCCTTATATCCTCTGCCCAAAAATTTAATGGCAATCGCCATGAAAATTCTGCTCATTCTAAGTCTACTCTTAGCATGTACTTTCTCATTTACAAAGTCAACTACCACAGTATCGGCAGTGTACAAAGACCAAATGCCATGCACAATGTGCTATTTATGCGACAACCCATGTCAGCCTCTCGCATCACCACCACCGCCACCCATCCCTGAATGTCCTCCACCACCTTCTCCTCCTCCACCACCTCTTCCTGAATGTCCACCGCCGCCGCCCATCCCTGAATGTCCTCCACCACCTTCCCCTCCTCCACCAGCTCTTCCTGAATGTCCACCACCGCCAGCTCCGGTCCATCACTGCTCAGAATGCCCGCCCAATGCAATTCCCATTCCATCTGGGCCTCCAGCTCCTATAAAGCCTGGATATGAACCTCCAGCGGGTGGTGAGTTTTACGCTCCTCCAGGTTCAGGTTATGGAACAAATCCAACGCCTTACTTTCCGAATTATATGCCTCCGCAGCCATCTTCCGCGACTGACTATGTCCATTTGAAATTGATGCCGATGATTATAGCTGTTTTGGTTTCCTTTACAGCTCTATGCTGCTTCTAAATATTACTGTATTATTAATATTTATATATATACACATATATGTGTGTGACTCTTGAGCTAATAGGAATTCGCAGAATAAAATATATGATTCATTTGAGTAGATCGACCTAGAAATTCTGGTGATAAATGTTGCATGGTATGTTCCTCCTAATTTTATTTTACCAATTAATAATGGAATTGTATTTACTCTCAGATTTAATACTTAATTAATAGTAGTTCTTAATTATTATTTTTATATGTAATTTTTCTTATATTAATAATAACAAAAATTAATATTCGGATGATTTATTTATATCTGCCTTGTACTACTTTAATTTAATAAAATCATACAGCCATTACTTAGCTAAACTTTCTTAATCCGATTTACTAATTTAATTTTGAACTCAGCCAACCCACTCAGCATATATACGAGAATTAGGAAAGAGGACTCAAGCAGGATTCTTAATTAAAATGGTTAATAATTTTTTTTTTTTTTTTTTGAGAAAAGGTTTAATAATTGTTTTAGATTGTAGGTAGAATGCTAAAAATGCTAAAAATAGAAAGTAAAGAATCAAATTCTTCTTAGCAAAAGAACAAAATAAAATATTGTATATAGTTGCATGTATTTTTAATTTTTTCTAAAATTAAAGGAACCAATATATATATATATATATATGTGTGTGTGTGTGTGTGTGTGTGTGTGTTTATTTCTTACTTGTACATGAAAATATTTTAAATGAAAAAGAAAGGAGATATCAGGATAAGAAATTTAACCTTCAATATTACAAGACTCATATTTTGGGTTTTTAGCCCAATAAGAATGGCCTGGCCCATTAGTTACGAGGTAACTTGACTGCTGAATGAGCAAAGCGACTGCTATCTTCGTCTACAAGTTTCATCTAGAACAATGGTTTTTAATTTTTAAATTTTTTTTTCATCTTCTTTGATAATGGTGACGTAGAAGACAAAACATGGGATAGTCCAATCACCAATGCACATGGGCCCACTGCTTCCCTATTACTAAAATCATCATTTGTCCTCTTCTCTCTGCTCTCCACTGGTTTCACCTTTCCCATACTCCCTCTCCGAAATTTTGATCAAACAGTTCCTTCTCCTCCGTCAATTCATAATTCCAAATGGGAAACTCAGAAACCCTATTCTCAGTTTTCATTCTCTTTCTTGTCAACTTCTCATTAACCGCATCAACAATAACACCAACCTCGTCCAAAGACCAAATATCATGCACAATGTGCTCCGCCTGTGACAATCCATGTCAACCCCTACCACCGCCGCCACCTCCTCCAGTCTCTGAATGCCCGCCACCTCCTTCACCACCACCACCAGCTGTTGTCTCTGACTGTCCGCCGCCACCTGTAACGCCTAGTTCAGGTACATATTACTACTCCCCGCCCCCGCCGCCATCAGAGCCTACCTACATTTACTCATCTCCGCCTCCACCTGAGAATAGTGGCGATTCTGGCGAATTTTATCCGCCACCAAACTACGGGAACTATGCAGCTCCACCGCCGCCAAACCCAATACTTCCTTATTTTCCGTTTTATTATTATAATCCTCCGCCATCTTCTTTTGCTTCTCAATCTGCCCGCTTGGAGATGCATTTTCCAATTGCGCTTTCCATTTTTCTTTTTGTTTCTTTTATATTCTCCTACTGAAAATGATTACAAATAATAACTGTTTAAGTCTTTTGGTTGTGTAGAAAATAAAATTTTTTTGTTAGAGTTTATGATATAGGAAAGATATAGAGGAGAAGAAATAAAGCTTGAAGATGATCAAAGAAATATCTCTTCAAAGCCACTCATATTGTAATGTTTTCTCTTGATTCTTGATGTATTCTTCATTGTCATGATTTGTCAAATTCATACAAAATTTTATAACATTTTCCGTTCCGATCATTGTTAGCAGATTAATTAGTTATCTTTCCTACTTCAAGCCTCTCAGTTGTTTAACAATTAATGCAATTGTCACCATCAGTTAACGTTGTTAACGTTATTAGTTGGAAATGATTGGAACTTTGTTTAAAAAATGGATAAAGTCAGAAAAAGGAGAGAGAGAGAATAGCTTTTCCAGCTTGCTTTAAGGAGTAAAAAGGCCAAGAGAAGCTTCTAATAGGGAAAAGTCGGTGGAGGAAAGGAAAGATTAGGCGAATTCAGCGCCTCTGTAGTCCACTACAGATCATGGCATGTGCTTTTTTATTAGTAAAGGAAGGTAATGTCTACTTGGAGATATGAAAATTATGCTCTTGCACATGACTAATCGCTTTGGGTTGCTCTTTTCCTATATTTTATTTGCTTTCTCCAAATTGTGAAAAGAGAAAATTAAAAGTCAACATTATAATACTGGGATATGGGTACATGGAAGAACATGCTTACGGCCAAGATACACACAAAAATTACTATAGATATATACATTTTCATTTCATTATTGAAATTAATAGCTAAAAATGAATGTTTGTCTTATAATATTAAAAAAAATTACCAGATTTTTTAATCATCAGTGTATCTTCTTTTTTTTTTTAGATATGTAATTATATTTTAATTGATTAAATTCATGGGGTTTGCAAATAATTTCGATATTTAATAATTTTATACATAATTTCCATATTTATTCTCTTCATGTATTGTGTGCATATGTATAGTGGATACCGCCCACTTCAGTTTGGGCTCTTGGGCTTTCGCCCATCAACATTCATATTGGGCCGGCAGCCTTCACGTCATTTTGGCCAATCACGAAACGTCAGCGTCTATCTCTCACGTTCTATATTCAGTTATTCACCACTGTTATTTCTACTCTCCGCGCCTAAACAAAATTTGAAATTGAAAAAGAAAATCTCTTACTCATTCCAATACAAAATATTTCACTTTCCTCTTCGTCCTTCTCTTGATCTTTCACCTTTCTCTGTGTCTCTCACCAAAAAAATGGCGAAAGGAACAGTTGCTACTGCTACGAAGAAGAAGGATAACAAAAAGACCACCAACTCCCCCCCTGTTCTCCACCACCCTCCTTACTTTGAGGTATTCTTCGTTTCCAATTTTCTCTTTTCAAATAATCAAAGTTTTTAATTTATTTTTCTTTTAACAATTACAGATGATAAGTGAAGCTATATTGGCGTTGAAAGAGAGAAACGGATCAAGTCAGCCTGCAATCGCAAAGTTGATAGAAGAAAAGTACCAAACTGTTTTGCCTTCAAATTTCAAGAAACTGCTTTCGGTACAACTAAAGAAGTTCGTAAAATCTGAAAGACTCGTTAGGATCAAACATTCCTACAAAATTTCTTCCACTGAGAAGCTAAAGTTGGCCATCAAAGAAACCTCCACTACCCAGAAATCAAAATCTGACGCCAAGAAGAAGCCTTCACTGGCTCCTAAAGAAAAGAATGCAAAAAAGATTAATATTCCAGAGAAGGGATCCAAGACTAAAAGACTTGGTCAGGTTAAGACCCCTGAGGTTCTCAAGAAGCCCAAGAAAGATGGAAAGACTGAAAAGATGAAGAGACTGAGTCAGGTGAAAACACCTGAAGTGCTTAAGAAGAAACAGAATCCAAAGGCTAGAAGGTGATGTTTGATGGATCGGTGGATATTAGGTTGGTTCTTTTTGGTTCTTGGCCTGGGTTAAGTTTTTCCTTTTTCTTTTTAATGCAAAGACCTTTTTTATGCTGTTCTTAATTAAAATGTGGTAATTGACAATTCTATCTTTAAAATACAAATATAATCTAATTAATTGATGATCTTTCTTTTTTTTTTTCTAAAAAAAAAAAATATTAATTTTATATTTTGGAGTCAAACAAGTTATACATTGATTAGTCATTTTTAATTTGAAAGTTACCAAATTATCATTTTAATTTAACTATGTAAAGAGCCAAAATATGAATAAAATGTTGTCAAAATTTAAATAAATGCCAGAAAATATGGTTGGAAGAAAATAGGATATAGAAATTATGGGGGGTTTCGATGTCTCAATCTAGTGATATTGATGGTGTTTCATTCATGGCTTGAAGTGTTTAGGCTACCCTTTTCAAGTTGGAAGTTTGCAAAAAATGGGAAAAAAAAAAGTGCAATTAATACCATCTAAAAATTGGGTAGTTGGTACAAAGAGATGAATGTGACAAATCTAAAACACTTTCACATATTTTGTTTTTGTCTGGATTTTTTGAGTGGGAAAGCAATTTGCCAAGCACAAATAATAGTAATAGGTACCTAGGATTCCCCTCCTTTTTCTGCAATATTTAAGCTTCATTATTATCATTTGACTTCAGCAACATCAAGAGGTTCTATGTTTATTTCATAGTAATTAGCCGGCCTGTGTTTTCTTTATAAAAATAAAATAAAATAAAATCCAGAATTTGATAATTTTTACTTTGTGTTAGCCAAACAAAATCAGTTTGTGTTAACAAAGTGTGGTTTCATTGGTTTTTTACTTATAAAAATAATATAGTAGGTCTCGAGTTCAAATTCTATCAAACACAAATTTTCACCTATTTAATTATAAAAGAGTGACTTCTCTATTACGTAGTCTGTAATATTATTTTACATTATTTAAATAGTTTGTTCGATCAAACTTCATTTAAAAGGCAATGAAAATGATAAGTGGAGACAAATTAATGTATCTCTAATTCCATTTTCGGCCATATGAGATTAGATTTCCAATTAAGTAGAAAAAGGTCAAGAAAGTTGCACCCTTTTCTTATATTTTGATGCATGCAAGGTGATCAAATTAGGCGTGAGTCCTATTATTTTTCCTATATCAAACACTACTCCTGCATGTCTACCCATTTTATAGAATTTGGTAATAAGCCAAACAAGGTTTCCTTTTCCTACTCTCATTCTCCTCTATTAAATATTTTTTTTATCAAATTCTAACAAATTTCTCCACATTAATTTTTTTTTATTAAAAAAGGTAACATAGTAAATTAAAAGCATATAAAAAAGGAATGGGTATGATATTATAATTCAAGAATTCAGAGGCCATTTCAAGTTTGAGAACGCGAGAATTAACCCTTTAGACGATATATTAAGGTATTTTGATATTTTTTTCTTTGTTTTTAACGATTAAAATTATTTTAATTTAATATAGACAAAAAAAAATTTATATAGTGGAATAAGTTTATAAATATTAAATAATATATACATAAAATTTATTGAAACAATATCTTGCTTTTACATACATTAAAATTGCTTGCTTGGCTGGCCAACGGAATGCAGGAAACCAATATCTTGTTAGTAGTATACCATTTTTTTCAAATGTCGAGCAGATCATGTGTCTCGATCACACAGACGTGCTAATCCCATCTTAAGAATGAGTAATGGTTAACCTCCACTAATCACAGTCGTTAATTTAGGGAAAGATAAAATCCGACGGTCAATGTACATTGTATCTGGCACGTGCCATGTAGAAAGGCATGCAATACCATTAAAGAATGCAAGTAGGTAGCAAATAGCCAATCTCATTTATGAATGCCGCTCTCTCTGTTCCGTCCCATTAATAAATAAATTATAGCTCACCTCCATCCCTCCCATGCCATCTATTTATCTTAGAGTAATCTACTTATATATTATATAAATTAAAAATATACTACAGGTATTGATTTAGCTTATCATGCCTCATTTATTTTCTTTCATCTAAGACCCAATTTATCAATTCTCATCTACCCGCCTCGATTCCTCTTCTTCTCTTGAAAACAAGCCAAACCACCAGTAGATCCATGGAGGGTGTTTCTACCGCTATGTACACTAAGGTCAGACGCTATTGGAGGAGGAGAGGCTACGAGAGGTTAAATGAATCGACCCGGAGACGACAGAACACGGTGGAGTTGGGTTCAACCCTCCAGAAAAAGAGGAGGGTATGGCGGATCAAGATCAAACCTAAGCTTAAAATCTTTAAAATGTCTTCTCCTAGAAAGTTCTTCGTTTGGCTTCGCGACGCTTACGTTAAGATGATGATGGGATTTGCTAACTCGCGCGTGATTGGAGCTGGATACGGTGGCGGAGCAGGGGATGGCCTTGCTACTTTTGGAAAACGGCCAGTCAAAGAGTATGATGAGAGGATGATCATTGAGATCTACAAGTCGTTAATGATGGCGCAGGGTCAGTTGGTGGCCCGCGAAGCACCCAGGTTTGGCTCCGTGCCTAGACTTCCTGCTATAGTAGAATCATAATTAGTGTTGTTAATTACAGTATATTTATGAGCAAATAAATTGGGGTCAAAAATTGCCGCAAGGAATTAATGTTCTGTTTTTTTTTTTTTTTTTTTTCAACATTCAGTTCTCAAATAGAATTGTAATTCTAGCAAGCAATTAGAATCTTCATCTTGGCAGTAAGCAGCTTTTAAGATTTTTCAAATAAAAAAAAAAAAAAATCCTCAGATAGAATCATATAGACTGGGTCCATTCCATAAAACCACTGTTTGATTTCTGATTTCTGATCATCCCATTTGGGAGGATGAAGTTTCAACTTTCAACAGATGCTAAGCTGATGGATTTGAAATTCTAATTTTTGTTGCGAAAAAAAAAGAAGAAAGAAATTAATAGTAATTAATTAGTTATGGGGTCAAATCAAGAGAAAATGTTAAGAGGAATATGCTAAGCATGTGTATTTTCATAGCTTCTGCCGTTGGTTTAGCTTACAATTAACCGCTCTAGTTCTAAATAAGTCTTCTTAGAAGTGAAAAAGAGAACATGCGTGCTTCGTGCTTCAGCTGAACAAATTTATTACCATTTATTATACAATGCTATCAAGTTGGCAGGTAAGGTAAGGTCTACACGTGCTGCCCTTCCTAGCTCGTCGGGTCGGTGTGTTGGTATATATATATATATATATATTGTTTATTTACATTAATCTCTGTACCGATTTTCTACTTGTCATGTTAATATTTAATTATTTGAATTTACCGTTTAATTTAAAATTTAATTTTTACTGAAATAATTATTGAAGATTTAATATTGATTAATAAAAGTTTAAAGATTTAACGAGGAAAATTCGATAAATTTTGAGAGTTAAAATGTGAGAATGGAATGAAACTACTGTTGTGTTGATTGTAAAGAAATGATATGTGATTTATATTATTGGATTTTTCTTGTTATATAGTATTAATATTTAATACTTATTACTTAAGTTTAGTCAGCACATCAGATTTGACTCATCAACCTATTTTTCACTCTAAATTCTACTTTCTTGCGACACACACACTCAGAAATATGCTTGAAGAAGATTTAGATTCTTTCTTTGTCGTTTTTCACAGCAATTATAATTTATACCCATCCCCTGTTTTAAATTTTTTATTCTTTAAAACCAAGATTGTCAATATCAAATTTAGCTGATCTAATAGAATTATTAGGTGATATACTGATAATTAATTTGTAAAATAGAGAACTCCGAGTGCCTTCTGAGCACCGTCTCTCCAAAATCTTGGTCGTTTGGTCTATGAGCAGTCATCACTTCTTCAACTTTATTATTTATATACCCACCAAAATTACCCAACTGTTCAGTCATAATTGAATTTGACAAAATTTAACTACGAAAGCATCATCTTTTTTTTTTTTTTTTTTTTTTTTTTTTACGAAAGCATCATCTTTTTTTTTTTTTTTTTTTTTTTTTATTTTTTTTTGACCCAAAACAGTTTCAACCATTGACCTTATGCAAAGGGTAATAAAGGAATATGTATTGTCCATTCATTCCCTGAATGGAAATCTCAAATTCCTCTCATCATCATATTAGGAAGTTGATAGGAACTTCTGTGTAGAACAAGAAGTGAGGGCTGACCTATCCATTGTCCAGTAGAGGTGGTCAGCAGCGGATGACAACGATGCAGTACTTATCCAAGAAAGTCGCAATTTGGTGACCATATCCATTTAAATAAGGCCTGACCTAAATGAGGGCCCATATTTATCGCAGTTCACTTTAGGGCTTGGCTTTTGAATCCAATTCCGAACCCACCATTGTAGAAAAATGTCCAATGGGCCTGTTATTTTAAGCAATAATCCGATCCCTCTAGCCTTTGAATTAGCAAATTTGTTCTAGCGTGTTATTTTTAAACCAAAAATTCAGTTTTTTTACGTCTTATTGTTTTTGCTCTCTAAGAATTATTTTTTAATGCCTTTTGATTTGTTAAAATTTGGACAAAATATTAAATTTTTTTTAAACCTTTTTTATTTTGTTCACGCTTATTTTAGTATGATTTTTGGATAGTTTCCTTATTTTACAGGCATTTACATTCAATAATAATAGTTACATTATTAACATTAAAAATTGATACTAATTTTAAGAATAACCATAAAAAATAAATATAATTCGATTTTTCAATTAAAAGTTGATTCTCAGACTCACTCTAATTTAAATTATTTTATTAGTTTAAAATATCATTAGGCTTTCAATTCAAAATGTATTTTCCTTCCATAAAATTAAAAACTTTTAGAGGGTTTCATATTAGCAACGAAACAAGCATGAAGCTTTTAATTTACTATTTTGCTCTACATTGTGTAGGTGTCAATTGTTTGAAGTCCCAAATATATATGTATGTTACACACTAAGATATAGTCTACTTAAAAGTGCATATACGACCTGATAATAAATTCAATTTTAACCCCTTCTCCAATAGTCAAATATATATATGTATATACGTGTGTGTGTGTGTGTGTGTGTGTGTGTGTGTGTGTGTGTGGTTTGTGTGTCGTTGTGTGTGTTAATATTTATGACATTACATTGGTAATGGGTGTGTGTGTGTGTGTGTGTGTGTGTGTGTGTGTGTGTGTGTGTGTGTGTGTGTGTGTGTGTGTTAATATTTATACATACATGGTAATGGGAGGTTATACATACACATGTAGCAAATAATCGCGTTGGTTGAAGGAGGCTGTTAGGTTGTTGTTAGGGAAGCTTAATATATATAAAAATAATAATTATAATAAGCGATAATGACTGTTAGCAAATAAAATATTGATAATATAAATTAATTATAATGAAAAAAGTTATTCAGTCAATTTTATAACTTTAGAACTTTCTTTGGCCATTAAGCACAGGAGTATATGCTATTCTTTTCTAGACTGGCTTTCCAAGTCTTCCCATTCTTTCCGTGGATATGATGCACATGTCTAACCAATATAAAAGGATTAACTTTTATTTATATTATATATTATATAATGAAAAACCATAAGTATAAACTAAAAAATATATACATATATATGGTCTATTTAAACAAAATAAATAAATAAAAATAAATTGTTTAAAATATGCTTCAACTGTTAATGGACTGTAGCTTAGTCGATTCAGGTAGGAGTAAAGTCCACATCAGTACATGAGTTGAAGAAGAAATCTGAAAATTGATATCTAAGAAAGCCGAGGGTGAAGCCCATCAAGTATACGTTAGATTTAACCAAATACGTCACTTGCATATATACAACAGCTACGTGTTTCTACCTTCAACAAACCTGTTTGTTCCAGAAATTAGAAAGCAAAACCAATATAATCTTCCATTTTTAATTTCTTTCTCACTAGTATATTATGAATTACATATTGAAAATATTAAATTAAATTATTACTTATTTTTAGTTGATTGATTATGATGATGGGATTTTCAATTCTATTATCCTATTCTTTATTGCAGTTTATTATGTTTCAGTGATATAAATTTCAATCTAACCTATATATAAACAGATTTTGGTGAAATGAGTAAAATTGCAGGTTATTAGAAATAAGAAAAAAAAAATGTAAAACATAATTGTTTGATCGATTGTTCTTCCAATCGAGAAGGAAGAAGTCAATGGTATGTAGGTAAGGCATAAAACTGACCACCCAACGGCTAAACGGTAAACAAGTAGAGAAAAGGATTTGGTTTTGAAAATTGAGCTCTTCTTTGCTAGTCAATCTTTAAACCACTCTCTAGGTGCTACCGGCTGCCCCAATTAACGTCTATAATCTGACGCCGACCGGCCGCCGCTACTTGAACCCCAAATCAATAAGTTACTCATTTCATTATATATTTATTTATAAAAAAATGTTTATATCGTAAATTCAAATAATGTTATTTCATTTTTGTTTGATAATTTCTCAAAAAGATAAAAAAAAGGTCGTTATCCAATCAACCGTCATCCGCATATAACATTTTCAATTGTCTGAAAAGAAGTACAATGATTTTCCACTTCCTTGGTATGTAATGGCATCTGAGAGAGTCGAATGTCCGCCATGGTTCATTCAGGCTTTTGTGACGAATTGCAACCGTCGGATAAAGTCATTGATGTGATAATAGAGTCACCGACCTCTCTGTGAGGTAATGCAGTACATTTTCATTTTTGGTCACTTTTCTCATCATGACAATCTGAGAATTCTAACCTGCGTTCCATATATTTCACCTTGATAATTTGAAATTTTTAATAAAAAAAATTAAAATTCCATTCATCTGGAAAAAGATAATACGACTGAACACTGTAAATACTTAAATACTTACAAATTTTTAGGGGAAAAAAAAAAAAAGTTCAAATATGAACGAATGTAGTTGATAATAATGAATACACAATAGTTGATGGGTTCATATCCAACATGAATGCACAAATCGAATTGAAGCACTTATATTTTTTCAGAAATACCTGATAGATAACGAAAGTCAAGTCAGGGGAATTTAGTTGAAGGCGCGGCGCCTTTCTAAAACTTTTCCTGAAATGTAAACTAAACTCTGTTTTTGATATGGACAGAATGTCAACGTGATGGAGCATACTTGGATCCTTCAATGGAGGTCGGATCGGATCCGATCCATAAATGGGAGGGTGGAAGCCAGGCTGTGGGAAGTGTACGGACTGGTAAAGAAAATGTTATCACCGAGGAACACGCTTCACAAGGTCTAATAATTATGTAATGCATAGCCATAGCTGTGATGATCAGAACTTGCTGATGCACCGTACGCCTGCACTCCGTAAATGGGACATGACACAATTGGTAAAGATGAAGCCACGTGTTACCCACTTATTGGTTTGACTTAAACAGCTGGTCTACACTACCTTCTCATTCAGTCGCTCCTGATGTTTTCTGACGAGTTTACAGTTTACCCTGGATTTTCTCTGCTCCTTTTCGCCTTTTCCGTCTCGATTATTGTACAATTTTAGATTTTTACATTAACGTAAAATGACAAAGAGTACTAGCGTGGGGTCCAAAAGATTCTGCGGGACCCGACCCGACTAGTAGAATGACAAACATGTATGTCTACCAAGGAAAGACGTCCATGATACATAATTTATTTTATCATTTTGATGCGCTTAAAATAGTCCAAACAGCAGGGTGCAGGGATGGGATGAGGGAACATGCATTGCTGATTCGCTGCGTCAATGATTTTGGTCACGGTTTTAATTGGCAGGGTATCATTCACATGGTTTCACCTGTTAAAGAGCTGGCTACGTTTCTTTATTTCTTTTCTTTTTTTTTTTCTTAATTACTTGAAAAGTTTGTGATTAAGTATAATCCAAAGTGAAATCTTCTTTGAACGTTTCGTTTGCCAGTTCTGATCTGCAAGTGGGATTACTGCAAGTTAACGTTTTATGCAAAAGGGGCAAGTTGCCTCTTTATATATATATATATATACACTTTCAATTTTATAAGCTCTTTCTCTCTATATATAAATTAAAGAATATATAACATTATTTTCTTGGCTAAATGATATATGTGATGATATGTAAAAACGAATATACTCTCTCGCCTTCACATGTATATTTGTGAAAATTGTCAAAATATAAAAAGAACGCTAGTAGTTCATAGCTTTTTTTTTTTTTTTTTTTTATAGCTTTTTTTTTTTTTTTTTTTTTTACCTCTACAGGATCATTTTATTTATTTATGTATTGCAAATTAACAATGACTGCTAAATGGGAAACTAGTAAGAAGAGCAATAGAAAGTGGGGGAGAAGGATGAAACTGAAAAACAATTTCCAGGTTCCTTTATTAAGATAAAATTTTATTTAAGCGATAAGAAATTAAGGTTTGGACGTTAATAATTTTAGCAATTTTCGTGCATAATCCATTTATTGGAGATCCAAATCAAAATCACATATATGAAGAACATGAAAAGTACAAAGCTTTTCCATCACTGGGATTAAAGAAAGAAAGAAAGAAAAAAAAAAAAAAAAAAAAAAGAAAAAAAAAAAAAAAAAAAAAAAAAAAAAAAAGAGCTTGATCAGGATTAGTTTATTTGCCGGTGAAATAAGTTGCTCTATTCTCTAGCCCCAAAAAGCAAAAGCCAACATTGCAAAGAGGCCAGTGAAGACCACTTTTAGGTATAAGTGTAACACAATCATTGGAGCAGGCCAAACACTCCTTTATTAAGCTAATAGTATGTGATATGATGTTGATGCCTCATCCATCCTTCCATCGCAACTTTCCCAAAGGCCAAAAGGCCACAGGGGAATTTTATTATTTCTCATTACAACAACTCGATAGCCTTCCAATTTAATATTTAACCAAATCGCAAAGACGCTAACATACCAATTTAGTTCAAAATTAGTTAATTACACGTGTAAACTCCTAAATTTATTGATTATTCTTATTATTAATTCTTCATTTAACTAGGAAAAAACAGAAACCAAAGTTACTGACAGTAAAATTAGATTAACAAACAATAATGTGGTATATAAAAACCTCAATTTCCATCTGAAACCCAAATAAAAACAAATAAAATCAAAACTAAAAGAGAATAATGTTAAATTCCTCTTTTTTTTTTTTTTTTTCACTTTTACCCCTGTTCTTTCTTCTGTCATGTCGAAGAGATCTAATTTTCATTAAAAGTAATGGCGTACTGATATCATTACCTAAATAAGATTTTTTAAACTTAACAAAAAAATTAAAAGTTTAAAGCTTCAACTGAAAAAAAAAAAAAAAAAAATAAAAAAAAAAAAAAAAAAAAAAAAAATAGCTTAATAAAAAAAAACAAGATAAACTCAGGGACTTGAAAAATACTTTTTGCCAAATAATTATAATAATATAGAAGATTACCAAATTGTATTTCAGGTGTAGACTAGAAGGCAATGGGTATGTATATACTATGTACAATATACAATATACAGTAAAAGTACAAGAGTTGGTACTAAGTGCTAGTTTGAGGACGCAATTGTAATTGTAAAAGAAGACAAGGACAGCTGGTTCTTCCCCTCTCCTAATCATGTTAATCAATGCGAAGGAAATAAAAATCGAATACTACTAAAATAGATTTTTATATTTCCAATTTCAGGTTTTTTTTTATTAAATTTAAAAAATTACTCTAAATTATACTAATTTGTTTTCTGGCCGTGGGGGATTTCTATGGTGGAAAACACAAGGAAAGGAAACACAAAATCCCTTCTCTCTCCAGTCTCCACTTGTTTCTCTCTTCTGCTTCTATACCTTCTTCTACAGGCCAATACCGAGAGATAGAGTGCAAGTAGGGAGACGGAGAGAGACCGGTGGGGTGAGTAGAGCGCACTGTAGCACCGGGGCCTTATTCTGTGCCCTGGTTTGGTTTAATGGATTCTTTCTGTTTTCTCTCTCCTTGAAGGTCGCTTCGTTCCCACGACAATTCTACTTCGAAACACACAAAAAGATCGATTCTATCTTTTTTTTTTTAAAAAAAAAAATTTCTAATTTCCGCATTTCACATCACCAAAGTTCACTCTGGCAGACCTTAAAGGAACCCTAGCGTTCCTTCGATCTTCTCTTTTCTCTGTCCTGCCAGATCGCGTTGATTTCAAATCAAAGAAAAAGAAGAGGAGAGGGAATTACCGTGGAAAAATGCTTTGGATTATGAGATTCTCAGGCTTTTTCTCCGCAGCAATGGTCATGATCATCCTTTCACCTTCTCTCCAATCCTTCCCTCCTGCCGAGGCCATCCGATCGTCTCACCTCGACGGCCACTTGAGTTATAAGGCTGACGATTCGTCAGAACGATTCTCCTTTCGAAAAGCTTCCGTATTTCGCAATGCCGAGAAATGTGGCTTCACCGACAATCGAATCTCAGGGAGAACGGGTCTCTGCGATCCTTCCTTGGTACACGTTGCGATTACACTTGATGTCGAGTATCTCCGTGGTTCAATCGCTGCCGTTCACTCTATATTGCAACATTCATTGTGTCCAGAGAGTGTTTTCTTTCATTTTTTGGTCTCAGAGACCAATTTGGAACCCCTAGTGCGATCTACTTTCCCTCAACTGAAGTTTAAGGTGTATTACTTTGATCCAGAGATTGTGCGGAATCTGATCTCCACTTCCGTGAGGCAAGCCCTTGAACAGCCCCTCAATTACGCGAGGAATTACATGGCTGATCTATTAGAGCCCTGCGTTCGCAGGGTGATTTACTTGGACTCTGATTTAGTTGTGGTTGATGATATTGCAAAGCTGTGGACTACAAACTTGGGTTCTAGAACAATCGGTGCCCCGGAATACTGCCACGCAAACTTTACCAAATATTTCACGGGGAGTTTCTGGTCAAACAAACGATTTTCCGGTACTTTCAGCGGTCGGAAACCGTGTTACTTCAACACTGGCGTAATGGTGATAGATCTGGTAAAGTGGAGACGGGTCGGATACACAAAACGGATTGAGAGGTGGATGGAGATTCAAAAGAGTGATCGGATCTATGAGCTAGGGTCACTACCGCCTTTCCTGTTGGTTTTTGCGGGACACGTGGCGCCGATAGAGCACCGGTGGAACCAGCACGGATTAGGTGGTGATAATGTGAGGGGCAGCTGTCGTGACCTACACCCGGGTCCTGTTAGCCTCCTCCATTGGTCCGGTAGCGGAAAGCCCTGGCTCAGGATCGACTCGAAGCAACCATGCCCACTCGATGCACTATGGGCACCATACGATTTGTACGGACACTCGCATTGAATCACAGGAGTAGTCGCCGCCGGTAAATTCCCTTCAGGACTGTTTTGTCACTAATCTTCTTTTTTATTTTATTTTTTTTCCTTTTTGGTTCTTTAATTTCTTATTTTGCCATTTGATTATTTTTGTGTCTTCTTCTTCTTCTTCTTCTTACTAGACCTCACCGATTTTTCTTTATTTTCATTTTTTTAGCTATAATATCAAATCATTTCTGTCAGGAGATTTGTATTTGTATTTTATTCTATTTTTTTGTTATTTCTGTCTCTGGAAATAAAATGAAATAAAACAACAAGGGATATTCAATTTAATAAAGTGCAGTGCTTATTGGATTTGATATCACAGTTAAATTAGCAATTAAGGCCAAACACAGCTGCTCTGTTAATAGGAGGAAAGGATAATCATCCTTCAATGGAGGGAAGAGGGGGCGAGAGACAGACCACAACAGACTGTACTGTACATGTGAGAACAGTGACGTTGGAGCGTGGAGATAATTTTTGAAATGACCAAATTGCACTTTTTAGTCTCGTTAAATTACTAATGTCGTTGCAATTGGCAATTGTAAATTACTAACATCTCGGTTGGTGTCGGTTAACTTGTTTTTTAGGCTTTCGGGGTGTTCGTTCCTCGTTTTTAATTAGGTAGCATTGATTTTGTTTTTTCTTTTTGTACAAAAAAATGGTAGGCCAGACCCATCTGTATTATGTGGTACAGTCGAGTGCTTACTATTTAAGCATTGGGAAATTCTATGTTCGCTATACATTATTACAATACGACCCTATTTGCTTTTTGCACGCCATTATAACTAGAAGAATTAAAAAAACAAAAAGAAATATATACAAATTGTAGATGGAGGGGAATGAGCAAACGTTGGAGTGGGCGAAGTCACATGTGGGTTGTGTAATGGCCAAATGCGTGGCCCCAAAAGACCAAAAAGAACTATACAGGAGAGTTAAGGCATTGGAAGAATCTAAACTAAAGACTAAAGAGGTGATAATGGTAGCAAAGTTGAAGATTTATCAGATTATATTATGGGGGTGGCAGCGGTGGGAGGTTTGTGAACCACCTCATATCCTGTCCTTTGCAGATTTCGGTGGCATCCTATTTTCATTAGGTTCAGCTTCGCATGTTTGTTTTTCTGGTAAATCTGCGGGATCGCATCTATAATTTTAGGTTATCCCGCTGTGATTACAATTAGAAAATGATGTAGAAATTAATATAAGTTATCCTGAAATCTTATTTAATATATATTTTTTTTATATATTGATATCTAACAATTGAATTCAAATTCACATTTATAAATTTTTATTTTGAGATGAAGATAATACTATTATTATTTTAAGAAGAATCAAAACTTAATTTTGGAATCGAAGGGGACCCATAATTCAATTGTTGCGTAGGAAGTGTCCATAATAGAACTAGGGACCGATTCCTTCTGCCCTGGCATCACACGTGGACATTTGCTACGTGTGGTTTTAGTTTATTCCATCATGGGATGGGATTAGATTGTATTTTAATTTCATTTTTTCTGTACAAAAATATCTAGAAATTATTTATCATGTGATTTTTAGGTTTTACCTCTCTATGTGCTGGCGGCTTGTTTTTGTTTTAGCTGTTTCTTAAACGTCAGATGAAATTAATTAATTAACTTTATAGGAAAAATTGATTAGGACTAAGCAACAGAAATCATAAAAAAGATGGATCTGAACTTGACAGATTTTGTTTGTCTCCGCCAATAATTGTAATCTTATACAAGAAAAATAAAAATTTAATCATTTGGTAAGGTTAGATAGTTCTGGAATGTAACAACGGGGTAATCATCCCCTGTAACACAACTATTTGAAATCATTCGTTTAATTCGCGGTCTCGGTGGACCCACTGCACACGTCATTGCTTTCATGCCCTTTTCCCCGTCCCCCTTATCTGGAGAGAGTCGGTTACTCATGTATATGGAATTGCACACGATGATATGCCGTTTTCTGATGATTTTCTCGGCGTTTTTCCGCTCATCGTTTAAGCCTTTTTATAAGAGGATTGGTTAATTAATCAAATAAAATAATCAAATAATAAAAATAGTGAAAAATCCTAATTAAGGAGATTGATTTGTTTATTTTTAAATAATGGATCAATTACTTACAATTAGATATGGTTTTCTTTATGCAGAAGTCTTACAGCTCATCTAACGTACAACATAAAACTGATTTAAGAGGGTAATTGGTCCCATCGCATGAAAGTGTCTGTCCAGGATGCTAGGATTTTGAACACAACATTAAACCAGTGCAACAGCAAGCCCTGAAATAGTATTATTTGAGCAAATTCCAAGCAGCTTGATTGTTTTAGACCAACAAGAATGAAACAGAATCCTAACACATCAAATTGGGAGTTTCAGACCTTCAAGGAACTTGGTACGAGTTGCTAGCAAGTGCAACCCAAACATCATTCGGTCATTGATACCTAAAATAACTCGACACCATTTACTGCCAAAAACAAACAGACATTTGGGTTTATATGAGAAACAATACGCAGGTAAAAAGGACCACGATTTGTTCTCTGCTATATTTTGGTATGTACGGTTCGCTACATATAAAACATTTGCTTACACAAGGCAGCAAGCTGTTTCTATCAAGTGGGACATACAGTTTAGTAGTCAGCCTTGGATGATTAGGCACCATATTTTAGCCTAATCATGGTAGTCTGGTAGTTAAACCAGTCAAAATTCATGTTGCTGCAATCATTTTAAGTTCTAGGGGTAAATTTTTAATTGCGCATTTTCCATATGCCAGTTGAGTTACTCTTAACTATTTCTTAAGGTGAAAATTGTAAACATCAAAAAGACAACTAAGCAATTGACAGGCAAAAGCATGTGGGCTATAGAAGCAAGTAGAGGGGAGAAGTGGGACAAAAGCAATGTTGAATGTTCCTTATGGATAGGACCACTTGAAAAGACTATTTAACAAATGAAGCATTATTTTTGCTAGAAAATGAATCCAAAACACATTTAGAAAGGTGCAGGTTAAGGTAGCAAATTTTTAGGAGCTGACTGTCTAATCTTATATTATAACACTGTACCTTCATTCATTTTGTTGGTCTAATCTTATATTGGATGTCCATTTTTCCGTAGGTCTATATCAGTGTGGTGGGATCTGAAAGAGAAATGTCAAGAAGTCCTTCCTACCCTTCCTTCTTTTAAATTCATTATTTCCTTTTCAGAATAAGGTGATCAAGCAAGCTTTTATCTTTCAATTCATAAAACAAAAGGTCTTGTGTTACTGCAGATCAAGAATTTTATCGAAACGTATAACAGATGGTGAGACAGATAATTCTTAAATATGATAAGATTTTACAATATTCTGAGGTAAATTTAACTCCAAAGAACTCAATGCAACTGCTGATACACAAGCTGTAAAAATAAAAAGATTACATACTTCTTCAACAATAATGGAGGAGAGAATTCAAATCAATTACAAAGTAAAACTACAAATATGAAGTTGAGAAACTTCAAATCAATAACTACTGCATACAGGCCTATTTTATATCAATCATGGGAACTGAAACTGATTGTAGACTTCCGTTCCAGAAGGAGGACTAATGTACACCCAAAGCAAAGAAATGATAATAGAGAGCAATCCAGACCAGACATAAACAATGGTTGGTACCTTCCCTCTTCTTCCCATCAAGCCTTTTGCAAAAGGGTAGAGATGAGACAAAACCCAGAAGCTGAAGAACACACCTCCAATAAGCTTGCTCCACTGTGGAATAGGACTGTACAGAGTCCTTGATACTCCTACTGCAATTGCAATGAGGTTTAACATCATTATTGTAATTGGAGGTAACATTAAGAAGCTCCATTTAACCACATATAGCTCAGCAAACTCATCATCTCCATCCTCAGGCGTGCTGGATTTCGATGTCAATGTGAATGAGATGTCAACTCCTGCTATAACCTTCAGTAGTCCTTGCAATACTGCTGCAGGATGTGCACTTGTTCCTCCAATCAACCAAAACTGTTCGTTTCTCCACCAATCATGGAGAGTGATTCCTGACCATTTGATTTCTAGGAGTGCAAGCAAGCATAGTGTAATTGTTATACCCAACAAGAACACTAGAAAGGTCACACTGAGAGATTGGACTATAAATTGACCAGAGAATAAAGATACCGCTGGTAAGAAGCAGTAAACTATGAGAAACATAGATGTAAAAGGGTACATTCCTACATTGAAATATGCAACCCTTTGCAAGAATTTCATCCGGGGACTGGCAAATAGTGCATTGTTTCTTGAGAAAAATATTTCTACTGAACCAGTTGCCCATCTAAGGACCTGATGGAGCCTGTCTGTTAGATTGATTGGAGCTGTACCTCGAAATGCATCCCTTTTGGTTACACAATAGACTGACCTCCATCCCCTATTGTGCATTCGATAACCTGTCACCACATCTTCTGTGACAGAACCATATATCCATCCTACCCTTTTGCCCCACTCAGTTTTATCCTCGTAGAAGCAAGAGATAACACTAATTGCTTCTGCAACAGTTGCAGCATCCAAAGGCTCTCTAGGAACTGCAAGGGAACCGGCTGGCCTTCCATGATTACCCTTTCCTTGCACATCTTGAAGTAACCTTCCTTGATATTCTGCAATTGGAATAGATGCAGCAAGAGAAGTGGAATTTCCAAACCTTTTTGGTAGGAGCAAAGACTCAATTTCTGCATCATCGTCATTGTGGTCTCCATTTATTGGCACTGCTATCTCATCTTCTTGTTTCTTTGTTATCTTGGGTTTCCTCAAAAACAACTTAATTTTCTTTCTGCCAAACCATCCATGGTGTTCTGTGGTTCTAGGTGGACTAAACCCATATAAAGCTGTTCTGCGAAAGATGCAGCCTGTTCCTACATACATTGGACCCTGCAATCCATCAAGAGCTCTCATGCTCACATCAAAGAACACTGTGTTGTGATTTGCATACCGATCACTTGGATCAATCCCTTCAAATCTTTGTGGGAATTGAACGTAACATATTCTATCACCACCTCTATCGAGCATAAAGCACATCCCTTCCCTCAAAGCCATAGAGTTATAAATGTAGTGATCACAATCAAGATTTAAAATGAATGGACCATTTGACATGATGGCACTAGTTCTAACTAGAGCATTCATTGCTCCTGCTTTCTTGTTGTGATCATAACCTGGCCTTTTCTCACGAGACACATAGACAAGCATTGGCAATCTAATATCAACTTCTGTTGTGTCAAGCAAGTTCTCCCCATCTGCTTCTGCCCCAAAAACAGGTTCTGCATTTGGTGGGGCAAGCATTGCCTGTAAAAAGGCATATAATATTAAATCATTACCCAATTCAGAATAATTAAACTATAAGGGTAGTAACTTTACAGATTCCAAAAGAAAGAATTACCTGAATTATACCGGCATGGTCTCCCCTTGAATGGTCACTCTCTCCAGAAGTCCAAGTTCCTGGCCAATGAGAACCATCAGACATCCAAGTAGCTTTTGCTATCTTAATTGGTTCTGATAGATTGCCTCCCATTTCCATTTGTTTCTTCTTTGCACGAAGCTCTTCGTGAGCATTATAAGCATCTGATCTTCTCCTAATTGATTCAGGCAATGAATTAATCCTCACTTTAAATTCATCATATTCTCTTTTCACTCTTCTCCTTTCTCTGACAAAGTCAAGTCTCACTTTGTTCTTAAGAAAATTCCGCTTCTGCCCGAAATATGCCTCAGGGTTTCTGGGTTCAATATTGTGTTTCCTGCAGAAAGGAACCCAAGTTCTTGCAAAACTAGCTGTCTCAGCTAGAGCTTCAAATGTCAAAAGAGATCCACCATCATCTGATAAGTAACAAGCAAGCTTTTCGACTGGATAATCAACTGCAAGGATAGAGAGAATAGTGTTTGCAGTAACAAGAGGGGGTTCTTTCTCAGGGTCTGCAGTTGAAACGAACACATCAATGCCTGGAAGGTCTGACCGGCCTTTTGGGTTGCGAAGATTGGGGGATTCAAAACGATCTTTTAGTACAGACAAGTCAGTCACTCTGTTTACTGGGCAGAGCTTAGGAAGCTGGTCAAGAATCCATGAAATGGCAAACCAAGACTCACAAGTTATGGACATTCCCCATAACCACATTGCTTCACGATTGGGGTGTCGAATTCTCCATGTAAGAAACAAACCAAGAGCCACCAGACGAATAGCGATCAGTAGTCTGTATAGCAATAAATGTCATTCTTAAAATGAGATGCTAATGCCACCATATAAAAAAAACCCAAGATATGTTTTGCAAAATCCAAGAGATTTATTTGACAATATTATGTTGATATATAAAAACTTGCTCACTTTGAAAGCAATAATCAGAACCAAAAAATTTTGGATTAAAAAAAAAAAATTAATTTCAATAAATACAAAATCAAGTTCAATAAAAAGAGAAACGGAGCAATTGAAGTTCATAATACGGGAAAAAAAGAGAGAGAGAGAGAGAGAGATGCTGTAAGCAAACCTGTAAGGGCTGAGAATTGCAGCGGAAACCCCAACTTTTCTAGTCAAAGGCCTTCTAGATCTTTCTTCAAAATCTGGAGGATGCTCAAATCCATTTCCTCCTGACCCAATTCCATACCCATCTTTAGGCCACACAGCATTTCCATACCCATAAGTTCCTTTTGTCTCAAACAACCACCTTGTATGATCAAAATCAGGAGGATGATTCAATGCCTTAAATGATTTCACAAGAGAAAGTCTTTTATCCAACTTGGGCAACGGCAATGCTTGGTCTTCTTCTTCACTTTTAGGGTCATCATCTTCTTCATCAAATTCCTCATCATCAATATCCTTGTATGGTTCTTTACAACCAGGACAATGGCCAACTCCATTAGATCCTATACAATCTAAATAGCAATCTCTGCAAATTTTGAATCCACACTCACATTTCCCTTGAATGGCTTTCTCATCACAACCCTTCATCCCACAAATAAGCCCTGATTTGAGTGACTTGGTTACCTCCATAGAACAATCAATAACATGACCACGAGTCACTGAATTGAAACCACCGGTGAAGATAGTACCAGAGATAAAACTCCGGTCAGGCTTGCCAGCATTGTTGATAACATCAGAGAGGCTAGTCTGTGAGACAGACATAGGCTGGTGGTCCGGTGTAGGCGGTATATGGACGGTGTAAGTGACAAATTCTCTATTGGTCTCGTCTGTAGTGTCGTCTTTTGACATCGAACAGTATCTGCCTCCACTTGAAGTCCGGTTCTTGCTGTTACTGAGCGGTGAATTTGGGTTGTTTGATATGGAAGCTCGTGGTATTGGACTCGTTAAGCCCATGCTTCTACTTCCTCCTCCTTTGCCTCCCGACGAGACCGTTATGGTCACCGGAGAAGAAGATGGAGAATTAGCCGTTTTCACCATTCTCTCAAAATAGCATTCAAAGATTGAATCTTTTTACCGGGAAATTGAAAGGAGCAGAATAATAAACAGAACGCAAATAAGAAAGCCCTCAAAGAACCAAAAGCAAGATGGGAAAAATTTTCAAGTGAAGAAATAATAATAAGAGTGAAGTCTTAAGGCGATTCGATTTGAATTTCTGAGAGGAAAAAGAGGTTTTTGGAGGGTTGGGAGATTACTATAACGGTCGGATGATCAGAACCGTAGGTGGAGCTGATCTGACGGTTGTAATTTAAATGAAACGGTCGGGTTTAGGATGTGACATGTTCATGTGGTCCATCGTGGAGTAAAAGGTCAAAAAGGTTAGGGGCAAAAAGGACTTTCCCTCATCTCTGCTTTAAATGGTCGAAGCCGTTGAGAATGTAGTACATAATTTAATATGATACGCGATAAAGTTAAAAGTAGGGACTGCGATGCGATTCAAAAGTTGAGATTCACATATTGCATTTCTATTTTAAAAGGTTTTTATATGCTAATTATATGGTAATCATTTTTATATTTAATACAAATCTATTTTGCTTTATAGATTGATAAATTCTTAGAATTTTAAATTTTATGTCACTAAAATTTTCTTAGAATTATATAATTTCATTTGGATAATTAATATTTGAAATATTTAATATTACGTAATACTTGTTATAATTTTCATTAGTACTTGCCTCCTAAATCAATTGAAAACCTATAACATTACTTTGAGAGATAAATAACTTGATTAAGATAAAAAAATACTCATTTTAATAACATTTGCTCTTTTCACAATAATTAAAAAAATGATTGAAATTTATTGATTTTCTAAAAACATATGATAGATTGACTAAATTACTTTTCTTTGATGTAAATATAAAAATAAATCACACCTAATATATACGGGTAAGTTGAAAAAAATAATTAATAAAAATTAAAATTTACACCACAGTAAATATGGGTAAAATTAAAAAAAATAATTAATAAAATTGAAAAAAAAAGTAATAAAAAAATCTTAATAAGAAGAATTGGAAATTACACAACATAACTGTCACGACCCATTTCCATGGACCGGACCGGCACTAGGACTTGAATGGGCTTAAGGTCCTCAAAGCCCGTAGTAAGCCTATATTATGCAAATCTCATTTACTATTCATAATTGTGGATACAGGCCCAATAATTTATTTCAATTATGTATCTTTCAAATACAATATTGCTCTTTTCTTTCACTATATAATTTTAATATAACATGATTGATACATATTTATGAATTTAATCTAAAACATGATATAGATTGACTAAATTACTTTTCTTTGATTAATATTCGGTATGTATTAACTAAAAAGTAAATATACACACTTATAGTACGGGCTAAAAAGATATGAAAAAAATAAATTAGATATATACAATATATAAAATTTTACCACAACGTATATATATCTGTGCTAAATTAATAAAAAATAACTCTCAATAAATTCGAAAAAAAAGTAATAAAAAAATTCCTAAATAAGTAAGAAGAATTGGAAATTTTAACACAACAGTAACTCGTCACGAAACTCATTTACGCCAATCCACGCGAATCCAGGCGAACCGCTACTAAGGTACTTGACATTCGGGACTTCCAAGGCTCCTTCAGAGAGCCCGCGTATGAAGCCCATAGTTATGTACAACACATAGCTGCAATTATACCTCAATTCATAATTGTTGCGTCCATACCACGGCCAATAATTTTACCTCATATAATTATGTACGTCACAGTACAATTATGTTCCGACAACAACACTAGTATGAATTTGCCCAGATTGCGGAACTCTAAACTGCTATCATTTTGCGAGGAGTCACATTTCACATTTTATGGGGCCAACGTTTACAAAATCTCTTATACCCCTATGTCCTTCAACTCCATAGGGATTTTTCTTCTCCACTATACCCTCTGGAAAAAAAAATAGGTAGGCCTTCTCAGTGGGTCGATTCGCACCCCCGCAGCGCCGCACGCAAGCTACATGCAACCACAACCCACTCGCCCAAACTCAAATGAAGTAGGGTTACGCAGAAACCATAACCCTCTCACTCCACACAATCATACAGATGCTAAAATATTTTTATTTGTTTATCGATTAAATTTATGATCATGCAGTGTCACACAAATGGCAATACAACTGCAACCACAATTATTATCACCTTCATATAATCACATCACGTGGAAATTAGTCAGTGCCTCACTGACCAGTCCTCTCATTGTTTTTTTTCCATTCTCTCTTTTTTTTTTAAAAAAAAAAATGCCAACAGGAGGCAACCCGGTGGTCTCCATCCAATCTAGATCATCAAGTGCAACAGGAGGCAACCCGGTGGTCTCCATCAGGAGGCAACCGGTGGTCTTCCATCCAAACTAGATCAATGAAAGTGCTTCAACCCTAACTAGGAGGCCACCTGCTGGGCTACAATCAAATCTAGATCAATCTTCGAAGGTGGCGCAACAACAAGAAGTCATCCTGTGGGTTCTCCCATATAATCCATGATCATCATAGTGCACACGGGGCGCCGATGGCTACCCATTTACCCGGAGCTTAGACGTCAAATTCAAATTATTCATATCATCATTCAGAGATCCATATCACAATAGACCGCCTCACAAACCCATGGTGGCCACAGCTTCAAATCCAATGACACTATAACAAAGAGCAAACAATATACACAGCACAAGTAATCACATAATATTTAATATCAACAAATAGTGCATCGCACAATATGCCAATTCAAGAACAAATCAATGCATGATAGCAATTTAGCAATGCATGATAGCATTTAGCCGTGAATGCATGAATGCAGGCGGATGATACTAGTTATCTAACACTACTCACAGTTTTTGTTGTCCTTAAAAGGACTGTCTTTCTTATTGCGCGCTTCCAGCCTTTGTCTTCACAGTCCGAAACTTTATAAGTATCTATATAATAAGAAAATTCTACATAAGAATTCTAATTTGAAAAATGCAGTTTGCATTCATTTATTTGTTTTCGTTACTCGTCGGTTCATTAATTTATCAAACTAACTGTATATCTATAGTGCATCTTTATTTGATTATTTCTTCTAATTTATTCATTAAGTAAAACGTCTAGTTATTCGGTAATTTATATTTTATGATAATACTAATCAAAATATTAATATGATTAATAATAATAATATACTAATCAAAATATTAATATGATTAATAATAATAATATTAATAATGATAATACAATTGATCATATAATATTCATAATGTTAATAACTTTAGTCAGTATTTAATTTACTGAACTATATATAAATTCGTTCTTCTTGTTTATTTATTTATTTGTTTATTTATCACTCTCCTAATCTTATTTTATATTTTTAATTTCTATGAATAATTTAAAGTATTTTAATTTCTAAAATAAAATTTATTTTCTATCGACTTTTCGGCAACATCTCCCCTAAAAATTGGATTATCCACCTGTTAAAATGTCAACATTATATCAATTAATTCCAAACAACACAGCCCATCCATCGGGCAATCAATCAATCAATTCAATTTTCCCATCCTCCGTCCGAATAATAATATCAACATTACCTTCGATTCTTAAATCCTCATTTTAGTCCATTCATAATAGTATTATCAAAATTCCTCAATCAATTATTTAATACCGAATTTAATTTTAACTAACTATTATTTTGAATAAATTTTTAACTAACTAAATAACTAAGATTACTAACTAAATTATTACTACTTAAATTAATTTCACTACATAAAACTTAAATTAATTTCACTACATAAAATTAATTAACTACGCAGAATAAGTAAAATTAAATGAACTAAATTAATTACCTACAACAATAAAATTAATTCAGTAACTAAAATTATTAAAATTAATTTTTACCCCAAAATACAATTCTTGTTGAACCGGATCCCACTGACAGTGGCGGAGAGAGGCGGAGAGAGTGGTGATGTTCGCCGGAGAGACAACCGGAGGCGATTGGAGCAGCGACAGTGGCAGCGGCTGCTTGCGCGATCGACGGCGATGGTGCTGTGGCGCTGCTCGATTTGGCAGTGGGCGCGCTGCTGCGTGACGCGACGGCCTGGTGGCGCGACGCAGCTGGCCGGCGCAACGAGGATCCGCTCGTCTGTGGAGGTGGCGCGACGTGGTTGCTCGCGTTTCTGCTGCTCCAAAGCTTGCTGGAACGCGACGCAGGAAAGAAAGGAAAAGAAAGGAAAAGAAAGAAAAGAAAAGAAAGAAGAAGAAGAAGAAAAGGAAGAAGAAAGAGGAGGAGGAGATGGCGGCGAGGAGCTCAGGTGGTCGAAAAATGAGAAGGAGAGGGAGGAGCGGCGCTGCTCCTTGTGTGCGCGAAAAGAGAGAAAAAAAAAAGAAAAGAAAAAGGAGTAGCTCTAGAGTTTTCTAGGCCATTCTGGTTCGATTCGAACCGGTTTGGTCTAAATCAATGATTTGGTCTCATTTTATTTGGTTTTTAAGTTTTCCAATCGATTTTTCGGATCCTTCGTGTGGTTCTCGACAAATTAAACTGATTTTTAGGTCCGGTTTGATTTATTTGTTTATTTTAATTAGGTTCCATAACATTTCCTCCATTAACCAAAACATAACATTTCCTCCATTAACCAAAATAAATAAAAAAAATAAAAATAAACCATAATTAGTAAGGAGATTTGTTTTTAGGGTAAATATATATTAATCGCTGGGATTTTATATTATTTCTCGAAAATTTTAACTGTTTACGAATCGAAATTTTTGACATTTTATTTGGGCTTGGGCCCAACTCCTAAAACTTTGGGCTCGAATTAAAATTGCTCGGTCTTAACAACCCATACTATCATTGCTCGGTCTTAACAACCCATACTATCAAAAATAAGGATTTTTGATTTAATAAAAATTCCAAAATTTTGAAAATAAAAATTCGGGGTATTTCAATAACTTAATCACATAGATTTAATTAAAGTCTCCCCTAAAAAAAATAAAGTATTTTGAATTAATGATCCTTCGAACTAATAAGTATCTAATTATCTGATTTCAATAAGTTTTTTTTTTTTATCAACGAAATTAATTTATTTTATTATAAATAAAATATTATAATTATGAACTATATTATATTATAATTATTTTTACTAAATATATAGTCTACAATTTGGTTTAGTCATAAATTCTTTAAGTCTAACTTTTGAATTATACTAGTATATGTTAAAAAAATTTAAAGAACAGTAAAATAAATCTTACCATGCAAATGAGCTCTAGGGAAATAGTCAAAGTAATTGATATTTAATGTGATTAATTAGTATACATTTTAGCCTTAACCGGAATGGATGTTAGGTTGACTCTGCATGCACTAACTAGAGTAAAGGGCTCCTTCAAATTTGAAAAGAGAAGACATAAATGTTAACGTTAATTTGAAATATACATGTTCCAGATAATCCTAATCCATTAGATATTTAGACGGGAGATTTAGATTTCAAACATTAGAATTTGAACATATGACCAAATTACCCATAAATTGCATCCAGTCCATGCATTATATATATTGTCTTGAAAGATAATATACAGAAAGAAAATGGCGAGAGACTTGGTAAGATTACATGCACAAAAGGACGTCATAATATTAATATTGATGGACTTGGTCCTGCCATTTCCTTGTCCTCTTCAAATACCAAACCAGATTTATAATATTAGTTACAAAATAATTGAAATTAAAAAGACCAGTTCTTCAATCTCCTCCTTTCTTGCTGTTATAGAATAGCAGCTGTCCTGCCGGCACGCCATTGAACTTGTCTTCATGGTTCTTAATTTCTTCCTTCTTTGCCTGATGTCGCAAACATTCATTACTATTCTCTGCTGATTACGTTCTTTCTCTTCATTGACTCCTAGTTCTGGTTATCAACCAAAATTAAGACATGGCTAGAAGAAATAATTTGTTTATCTTTTTCACTTTAGTCTCATTCTTTGTATGTAATTCTTCCTCTCAGCCCCAACCAGCCCCGCCGCCGCCGTTAAACGCCACCTGCAACGGTGTGTACTTATCCTACAGTTACACCGGAGGATATCCTATCCCGCCAACTGACCCCACCAACCAACCGTATCGGTTCGAATCCAGTGTAAACGTGCTCAACAACGGACCTGATGAGCTCAAGTCTTGGAGAGTCTTTGTTGGGTTTCGAAATAATGAGTTGTTGGTCTCTGCAACTAATGCTGTGCTGGCAGACGGCTCGTCTCTGCCTGCTTTAGTCGGGAACGGTACCGTTTTGGCTGGTTTTCCTCAGACTGACCTCAAGTCAGCTATTGGGACTGCTGGGGATTTGACCCAGATGGAGGTTAGGATCCAGTTAGTGGGCACCCGGTTCGGAAATGATAATTCGGATGCTCCATTACCGGTTAATTTGACTCTAGTTAATGATGGGTATTCTTGTCCTGACCCAACAAGAAGAGGTAATAATACCATACCCAAATAGTCAAATTCTATATTTCGATTGTTAGCATTCTGTTTTTGGCCGTTGAAGCAGTTACGTTCATGTTTGTTTAATACTATCATTTAAACTAATCATTCCAATTTAATACCCTGAATCATTGTTTATATTGTGCAGGTAATGAATTAGAATTGTGTTGCGTTACAGATTTGGGAGCTAAAACAAACATTTCTCAGGAAGATAACGTACAGCCCCGCCAAGATGGTGATCTTATAATCATGTACGATATAATCAGCACATCTGATTCTAATTACTGGGCACAGGTTTCTATATCAAACCATAACCCTCTTGGGAGGCTTGATAACTGGAAATTAAGCTGGGATTGGATGAGAGGTGAATTTATATATGCCATGAAAGGAGCTATTCCATATGTTAGTGATGTCTCAGATTGCATATTTGGTGAGCAAGGTGAACACTACAAAGATATGGATTTCTCTCAAGTATTGAGTTGTGACAGAAGCCCTACAATTCTTGACTTACCTCCAACAAGAGCTAATGATACACAAATTGGAATGATTCCTTTCTGCTGTAAAAATGGGACTATTCTACCTCCTAACATGGATCCATCCAAATCTGTTTCAGCTTTTCAAATGCAAGTATACAAAATGCCACCTGATTTGAACCGGACACAACTCTTTCCACCGCAGAATTGGAAAATCAATGGCACATTTAGTTCAGATTTTCAATGTGGATCCCCAGTACGGGTAACCCCTAGCCAGTTTCCTGATCCAAGTGGATTGCCTTCAAAAAAAGCAGCAGTAGCTAGTTGGCAAGTAGTCTGCAATATTACACATTTTAAAGAAGAGTCTCCAAAATGTTGCGTATCATTTTCGGCATTCTTCAATGATTCTGTTATCCCTTGTAGAGCCTGTGCTTGTGGCTGCAATAGCAACCCAAGAAAAACCTGCAATACCAATGAACCAGCTTTGCTTTTACCACCCGACGCTCTTCTAGTCCCATTTGAGAATAGAACTGATAAAGCTTTGGAATGGGCTGATCTGAAAAGAAAGGCTGTGCCAAATCCTTTGCCGTGTGGGGATAACTGTGGAGTTAGCATAAACTGGCATTTAATGTCAGATTATAGAGGAGGCTGGACTGCGAGGATTACCCTCTTCAACTGGGGTGAAACTGATTTAGCAGATTGGTTTGCTGCAGTTCAACTAGACAAAGCAGTGCCAGGATTTGAAAATGTCTACTCGTTCAATGGAAGTGTGATACCTAGTTCAACAAATACAATATTTATGCAAGGTCTTAAAGACTTCGATTATCTAGTGGCAGAAAGGGATGGTGACAATCCAAGAAAAGATCCTCGAGTCCCTGGGACGCAGCAATCAGTTATCTCATTTACTAAGGAAAAAACTCCAGGTATTAATGTGGCTGGTGGTGATGGATTTCCAACCAAAATCTTCTTTAATGGCGAGGAATGTGCACTGCCTACGGTACTTCCAAGCAATGGTCACAGGACAAATGCAGCTAACAGATTTTTCAGCTTCCTACTATTTCTGTCTCTTCTACTAATGCAGTGGTAGCCTTTATAGAGGCCACTATTACCAATTCTTTTCCTGATTTCTAAATTTGTTTCTCTTGTATGTATTTCAAGTTTCTGCTAAATTTCATGTTTGGCAATTTGGGTAATGGCGGATTTAGATTACATTTTCAATGGCATTTAAGACTGTAACTTACTCTGATATATTCTTTTAATATATGCATAATCTTTTATGTTTTTATCACTTGTGAGACTTGAATGTGAAGAACATATTGCATCATCACTCGTGAGAGTTGATCAGCTAAAGGGCCATATTTAAACGACACGCTTCAGAAGTCGGAACTGCTAGTTAATAAATTCCATCTGTAAGAAAGGACACCAATTAATATTTTATGCCTTTAGCTTCTTTATAATGAGATATTTGCAAGAAATTTTTGTTACAACAAAGTCATCCTTCAAAGAAATTATGGAGAGAGCCTGACAGACTTTCAAAATAACGTCAAAAAATTGAGGACAAAAAAGGCCCGGACTGCTAGCAGACTATTCTTCCCATTAGCAAACCTTTAGTGGCAAAAAAGGAAAAAGAAAGTACACGTTTGGAGCAAGTACAACTAGCACGCTAAGGTAAAACAATATTATCACAAAAATAACTCCTTTAAGATCAGGAGGATTAGCATGATGAAACATAAAATAACCAGCACTGTCGCACACATCACCATTCCTCCTTTCTTTTGTGATCTTTCAGCCTGCGATTCGGGAAACAAGCTGTGATTATTTTTAAGTTGATCTCCAATGCTAGAGCAAGCAATATGAATCTAATTTGAAATGGAACATTCAATCATAGAAGAATGAAACAAATTACCAAACATAGTTAACCTTAGAGAAACATATTCAAAAAAGATGGATGGGCATGTGCATGTATGTGAAAGAGTAAGACAGAACCTTCTGCAGTTGTTTAAAGCCCTCCTCCACTGAATTAGCAACATTTTGAATGTTATAGTCTATCCGATCAACAATTGTACCCTGCTTGAGAACATGAATTTCATTAGCACCTGGAACTGATAAACTGTGCCTGCAAAATGCAATATAAAATTGTGACTCAAACCTGATCTATCACAAGAACAGATAGGTCCTTCATGATTTGAGCAAGCTCATTAACTGATGACACAACCTACAAAGAGAGATAATATCAATTTCAATGAAACTCAGCAGCTGATTTCGAGTGACCAATTAAGTGTACTCCAATACCTGTTTGATCTCTCTCTCCCTTTCCTCAGTTAGATGTTCGCTCTTCTTTAGCTTAATCATTTGGTGCTCATTAAAACCCTAATTTATCAATCATCGAGTCATCATATCAAATACACAAGTAGTTTAAAAAAATTTGTTTTTCAAAGGGACACATCCTTGTTTAAAAAAAAAGTGACAAAGGAAAGTCTTGAATCAGACCACACACAACTCAAGAGAGAAAGTTGAGGCTGTGGGCTAAATCTTCAAAACATTTAATTTATGTACCACAATGATCATTTTTCACATCCATAATAATAATGATTAATTATATAAGTAGACAAATCTAAGGATCAAGCAGATCTTACTAAATGTAGGTTAAGCAGAACAGCATACCATGTCACTAGATTCACCATCTTCATATCTAAATTTCTTCTCATTTAGGTTAATCTCAAAGTCCACCCCATCATATCCCTAGCCACAAAAAGAATCAATATTATTTAATATAAACACATAAAAGTAACACTGTAAATAGTTAAGCTGTAAGCAAACAATAGTTTAAAACCAAAAGAGCAGTTCAAGGTTATGTAAGAGGAAGTTCAGCAAAGTACGCACATTAGTTCCAAACCTGCAATATACAATTTAACTGCATTTTCATTGCTAGAAAAGAGTATGTCATTTTGTAATGATTTATGCACATATGCATTTCCAGACCTCTCTTTGCTGCTGCAGACGTTTAAGATACGTTGATTGTCTTCTCCGAAGATCCATTGAAATATTTTGAAGGTCTGTTGCAAGAGAACGCTGTGTAAAGAAGAGACATCCAAATCAACCAAAATTCTTCATTCAGGATACCTAGCATGTAAGCACGAGATGATGCTAAAAAGCATAATTCAGGAGCAACTGCCAACTGGGGAAGAAAGTCAACCATACCTGTACATTTTTTCTAACATTTGAATCCTCAGGAGACTCACTGGCAGAAAGTTTCTGCAATCTCTTCTCAGACTTCCTCAACAAATCAGTAATATCACGAGTAAGAGCCTCAATCGTTCGTTGATCTTCTTTGCCATCTCCAAAAGAAGGCATTAAAGCTTTCGCATGAGCCTTGACTAACTCCGCCATTTTGGTTCTAACAAGTTGAATATTTGCAGCTATTTCTTCGGAATCATCCACCCAGTCTGGCGGCAAACCAATGGTAAAGGCATCACTACTGTACGAAGGAAATCGTATCTCAAGATGAAGATACTTGGAAGTTTTAAAACACACTCCCAACGACGGAAACACAAACAGAAAATGAAAAAGCGAAATGCCAGAGCAAAATCCATGAAGTTTCATTTCCAGAAACTTAGAGCCATAAAACAATTACAGAATTATCAAACACAAACACAATACTTCCAATATGAGAAATTTTACACTGATAGGAGTGCAATTAGGGATGGCGGTGCGAATCAATTAATTAGCAAAATTTGAAGGAAAGATTGATTAATTCCTTTTAATATTTAACGAATAGAATAATCATTATATAACCAAAAATAACCAATAAAAAAATTCCTAAACAAGTTAATTGATGGCAATTAATAGAGCGTGTTAAGCCAAAAGGGTTACCTGGAAGGAACCGGTTCTTCAGTGCTAAGAGGAGCATAAGAGGTATGATTGGAACGAAGAAAAGAAGTGCTAACCATTTCAATAACAGGACCTCTCGAACTCGAAGCTGACGATGATAGAGGAGAACGCACGCTCTTCACCGCATCTCTGTGCTTCTTGAACTGCATGGTCCGGTTTCTCGTCGCCATTGATAACCAAAAAAAAAAAAATCAGATGCAAGGTTTCAGGAAGGCCAGAAGAGAATTTAGCGTGGGTTTGTTGATAGAAGACGAGGATTAGGGAGTGAGGAAAATAGTTTCTGCGGAATTTGAAGAGTTGGGAGCGCGAGAGGATTTGAAGTCGTGGAAATTAGGATTTTAGTGGGTTTTGATGAAACAGAATTTTGATCTTGAGAATCAGAGCAGCTCTGAAATGTCAAAAACTGACGCTACTTTGCGTATTTGCGCGTTTTCGTAAAGAAACTGGGCTCGCGTTTTTTAGAGACTTGATCATTTCATGTTTGGGCTTCCACTGGTGATTAAGCCCAATCTTTCATGGTTTTGAACTGAAGCCCGGTCTTTGTAAATTCCCATAACGTTGATTTTTCATCCTCTGTCGTTTCCCAAAAAAATAATTAATAATAATAATAAAACGAAGACCGAAATAATTGAACGACAATAATGGTAATAAAAAAAGGTTTTCGGAGGGAAAGTTTCCGGTGTCTTCACATCGATATGAAAAAGTTGCCATTTGATAGGGAAACAATTCTTGTATCATTGGAATGATTGTTTTCCTTTTAAAGCAATCATTAAAATGACTGTTTCCCTTTAAATAAGAACTTGCCAGCTTAACAGAAATTACTATTCCACTATGAAGGGTTTGGTGCTGATGACGCAGAACGGCCTGATAAGAAATAAACGAACGAGAAGTAAAACAAAAGTCCAGAGTACATCAATGGCAATTACTTGTCCTTTCAAACTGGAAGAGAGTATGAAACGCAACTGCCACTAATTCTTTGATTATACCCGTTAAATAAATTGTTAGCATGTTTTTTAATTAACACTTGTGAATTTGATCACAATTATTAGTTTCCTTTGCTCAATTCCAATAATGAAAAATGTGTTTTCGTGTTGAAGTGAACCTTTTTTTGAAATATTGGAAGTACAGGTCAGAAAACTCCACTGCCACTAAGTATTTTTTTTTTTTTTTTTCCTAAAATTGATACCAATTTCAGTGGCAGAGGACCCTAGCTGCTTTTGGGATGTCCCGGAAAAGCTTTCAAAAAATAATCAGCAGTCGCAAATGCTTATTTCTTGCCACAGTAAATTGCACCCACCAACTACAAATATGGCCAAAAGAGTGCACACTCATGGTAGTACTGCTCTAGTAAATCAAATTTTCCTTTTCTCCTCAAACCTACAAGGTAGCAAGATACATTTCCAGCCTATAAATGAAGATTTATTTTTAATTCTGTGACAATTGATTCTTACTTTGATCAAATTGTATCAAACCTCAAGTTTGCAAGATACAATTCCAGCTAATATTCAATAATCATGTCTGCAGGAAAACTACCAAGACAGGGAACATCAAACATGAAATCTGATAACAGATACACAGAGATTTAAATGTTGACTAAATTTAATTCATTAATAACCCCTTCGATTTCATTCCCATCTTTCATGGCAGCTTAAAACAAATATTATTGAGAGAATTTTATAAAAACAAAATTAATTTACCAGTAACAACAAGATAATTCAAGACCTGGATCCGCAATGGAACACCTTAAACTCACACTTCGATGAAATCGTCTGCAAAAGCAACCTTGCCGTGTACTCCTGTCTCACCACAGCCCCTTCTTTTTCCACCAATACAGCAGCCACAATTTTCTCATACCCACCCCCGCCGCCTTTTACCAAGTACGACACAATCGCCGCCTGTGCTGGGCCCAAGCTCGGATTATACGCAGCAGACTCTATGTAAGAACCTCTATAAATTTTACCTTCACAGTCCATCAACGCCACCCCAGATGGGCACTTACTATATGGAGCATGAGACTTGTTGGCGGCCTCTAAAGCCTCGTATTTCAAATCATCGCAAATAACGGTACTAATTCCATTTGGAATATTATTATTACAATTAGAATCATTTAGCAACGACAAATTGTTATCATGTCGTTCTAAAACTAAGGGAAAATCCTTATCGAGAAGATCGTCTGGCCCGAACCTGTGAGGTAGAAAATGCGATAAGGGCTCAAATTTCTTTTTACCTCCATTTTTGCCAGCTGCACCGCCGGAATTATCGATATTACTATCGTCTGTGACAAGGATCTGGATATCGGGAGCGTGGCGGATTTCCTGGAAGAATTGCCGGCAGTGACCGCAGGGGGCGGCGGAGACGGCAACGGAGTTGAGCTTGGGTTCAGCATTGAGGGTAAGATTAGTGATTAGGAATTGTTCGGCATGGACAGAGTGGTGGAGAGGGAGGCCTGGAAATTCGAGATTGGCTCCGAAGAAGATGCGACCGGAGGATCCAAGCCCGACGGCGCCGACGCAGTAATTGGAGATGGGCGTACGGGCCAAGGACCGGGCCGAATTGACCAAGGTAGGTAGGAGCTCGAGGACAGTAAGGCCTGATTGTTTGGCCATTGATTCGGCTTCGTGGGCTTCGATTACGAATCCGAGTTGCTCCATCTCTGGTTGGTTAGAGGTTTAGATCAGTGATTAGAGAAATTCGAGAGAGAGAGAGAGAGCCTTCCCGGAAATGGTGAAGAAGGCTGGGGAGGTGGGGGAAGATGGCGTGGAGCGATTGCGAATATTTATAGGGGGGATAAGTGGTCTGAGTTTCTGGTAAATTAAATTTTGCTAGCTCAGCGATAGTTTCCTCCTGCCTTCAATTTTTCTGTCATTTTCCTATGCTTATTGCTTTGCCACTAATTTCAATAACATCCTCATGAAATTAAATAATTAACTTGGAACACTAGGTCAAGTCGTTGATTTACTTATTAAAAATAAATTTCAAAATTTTTTTATTTACATATAATCAATTTCTTGAAATTAAAAATATATAATTTTAAATATCTTAAATTTATTAAGTGTAAAAAAGTAATAGATAAATGCTATTTAATAACTATATTAATTCATCTCTAAAGTTTAAAGTGCTACTTTTACCGTTAGGTGCATATGAAATATGAATGACTAAATAGCTAAAAATTGTAAGAAATTTAACAAGTTTAAGAAATTGTAAAAAAAGAGGGATGAAATGGTAATTAAAGTTAAAATTTATTTTATCCTAAAATTGAATAGAATTGTCATATCCAGGAAATATAAATTATTATGTAAATATCAAGTAAAGACAAAGGGATTTGTTGAGTGAAAGCAAGAATTGAGAAATGTGATGGAGGTTTCTGATTGAACAAATTGGCATTGCCTTGTCTGGAATTGGCAATTACAATTAATTTTAAAATTATGTTTAGGTAGGGAACTATGACTTTAAACTAATTACGTTATTAATATGTACAAAAAGGTATGGTCAAACTTCCAGCATGTGATTGAGATGCAACCAAAGCATAAGTATTTTATTTTATCATTTAACTATTAAGAAGTGGCATATAATTGACAAGGAGACAATATTGCATTATGGGCCAATTGGGCCAACCTATATACTTGAATAATTTTCAAATATAACATAATCCTAAATCAGATTCTTTCTATCCCAAATTTAATAATTCAGCATCTCATGCAAATACACTGGATTTGCCTAGCACTTGTGCCAAGTGCAAAATGACTCCTTTCCAAATTGCCTCTGCAATTTGCTAGTGGAAAGAAGATACTTAATCCACACTGTTTTTTAGATGGGTCTTTCTTTGCTGCTGTTTTGCGTGATTCTTAATGAGATAAATAAAAAAAAAAGGGTCGCCACATGCAAACAGATTGAAGAACATATGTTTTTAATTTTAGCGAATTGATGCTGACTTTGGATTACACTGCTTGAATTTTTATATCAGTTGCTGCAAGCTTGCAAGCATTTGTTTATTTATTATTAGCTGATGTTAACTTATCATCAACTTCTAATAATAGAAAAAAAAAAATGAAAAATGATCATTTCCTTGTCATTAAAATTTGATGTTTAATGTTAATAAGTGCCGAAGAATAATGAGAAATCTCAAGTTCGAGTCCTATTAATAACCGGTTGTTTTCCATGTCATACCAACCAATCTAGGCTGACAACATGTCTCTGGTGTCATTTCACGTGTCAACTAGATTTAAGTTTGATTAGTTGAGCAGAAACATTTTAAGTAACATAGCCTAAGAGAAGAAGGTTTCAGAGCTAAAGCTCTAGTGATGAGTCAAGATTTACATTAGCTAATGTTAAGTAACTAAAACCTGTGCAGACTATGAGCCAAGACCTCATATATGCATGACCTGCCAAAGAATGAAAAACTATCTCCACAAGGATCTAAATATCTGCACGAAGCTTCCTTATTAACCATCTCTTTCGTAGTTTGACATCCAAAGCCATAAATGTTTTAGCTTTCATGTCATCCTCCAAGAAATCACAAGCATCTAATATAAGGTCTTCATCCATGTCTGGCAAAGCTTGAACTGCTTTAATTACATTCTCTATCGAAAAAGAATTTGAAATCTCATCCTGCCTTTTATCTGATAAAGATGAAACCGCAGTTGCCATCTCCCGGAGAGCACTTGCCATGCCCTCCTCTTTGCCTCGAGCCCTTTTAGAGTAATCAGAATTGGACTGGTTTTCTAACTCACGTTTCTTATTCCCACTAAGCACAATATTTCTTGAAGCTGTATGTATAGACTCAAACATGTCGTCAAATTCCTCTTCAATGGAAATTGATGCAGCTGGAGATTGAGAACTCTGCGAAGCCCTGGGAAACTTGACTTCTTGAAAATCATTTTGCAGCTCCAAACATTGTGCCGAGAAGCAATCACTTTCGTCGAAGTTCTGATCACTGCATATCATACATAAATCTTTGTAGTATGGGACAGGTCGGGTCATGAACTGTCTCGCATCTGTATGTGTCTGCAAGTAAATCACATCAAAGCTTTTAGAATGCCTTTTAGTTAGTTAAATCTTACTAGTTCACTATTAATTCCACAGTCATAAAAGATATTCAATCTTGCTCCCAAAAGTTTTCACTACAAACCAAACAAGCCAACACACCTTTATATAGTCCTGCCAGACATAATCATCAGCAGTCACCATTTGACGAGTGTCATTCCAAGCAAACCCAGGCAACTCAAGAAGGTTCTTTATGACATTATGTTGCCTTCTCAGAGTTTTGTAGCGATTTTTTAGAACATCTACATCATAATTAAAGCCAAATTTAGCATTAAAGGATGTAATCATATCCATCCATGCTTGTTTACGGAATACACCATCAATCTGATTCCCTTTCTGCATATGTTCAAGCATAAGATCAATGAAATAGCGATCCATTGGAGGTTGCCAATATGTTCTAGTGCGGTTGTTTGCGGTGCTTCCTGTTGCATTTGCTGCAGCCTGATGCACATCATCTAGTAACTCTTTTGATACAGAATCATCAACTACCACAGTTGACACACAGATTCTGTAATCATCATCAACTGTAATTTCTTGAAAAGTCTCCAGAGCTCCCTTGTTCACACTCTTAGCTTGATTTCCTTCGATTGTTTCATTTTCTGTTGAATCTGGCAACAACTCTAGCACATTGTCACCTGCTTAATAGTAGCAGCAGATTCTAAAACTTCAAATAACATAACTGTAGACATGTGATTTCAACAACAATATCAATACTGAAACCCACCTTTTTCTTCAAAGTTTGCATCTCCATATATCAAACATAAATCCTTATAATACGGGATAGTTTTTATCCTATATGCACGTGCATCCGGGTGCATCTGCAATAATAAACCAATAAGACATTCCAATACATAAGAAAAAATTTTAAAGTTACTGGAAACTGAAGACTATTTCACCTTGATATATTCATCCCAAAAATTATTATCAGCTGTCACCATTTGCCGATTTTCATCCCAGCTAAACCCTCTCTGATCAAGGAGCTTCTTTACAGCCTTGTATAAATTTCTCAAAGTTTTGTGCCTATTTTTCAGAACATCCTTTTCATATTGAAATTTGAACTTGGCATTGAACAATGAGGTCATATGCTTCCATGCTCTTTTGCTGAATAAATGATCATCAAACTTATTGCCTTTGCTGACTTGCTCTAACAGAAGACCAATAAAAAATCTATCCATTTCCGGTGTCCAAATAGTCCTCAAACGATCATTACCATTCCTGGCTCGGATACCCATTCGCTTACTCAATTTCAGAAAATGTATCACTGCCAATACACTTTGCACTCGCAACAAAAAAAAAGTACAAAAAATCTTATCCTCCGTCTGCAAAAATCGTTGCGCAAGAATTCGATTCAGTTCTATTAATAGAGTTCATTTCAAATGAGTTTATAATAGAATTCATGAGCTTGGAATAATGTTAAGGAATTGAATTCTATTCATCATATGATTTCCAAACAAGAAAATCGGTATAATAGAATTCAATCGACTCGAATGCCTTTATCATAAAAGTGCGAAATTGATCGTGCTTCAAGTTAATGCCTATAAGGAACAGCAAAATTATACTATTCTACTTTCTAACTTATTATAAAAATTTCCATTTTCTTCAATAATTAAGGGTTTTTGGATCAGACACAGATAACTAAGAGAATGATTCCAAGATTCATACACACATATATTAGCTCAAGAAATCGAATGAGCACATAATTAAGAGCAGAGAGTAGATGGCGACCAAAGCTCCTAATGTCTAACAGAGAACAAGCTTTATGTAAGTGCCCATAACAGAGATGAGGTAAAGATAGAACCTTGAACAGGATAGATTAAAACGCACCTTGGAATCGATTTGGAAGAGCTTAGACCTGGAATAGGTTACAGTTTGCGGTTTCTGCAAACTTAGGGATAAGGATTTCCTGGATAGGGTTCTAATTTGGTTGGATACAGCGATAACCTTGATCGAATTACCCCGACTGTAAAGATACGAAGGGCTTGGTTTTGTGAATTGGACTTTTTGACGTAGTTTGCATGGGCTTCCTTTTACGGCCCGCTTTGAGAGATCAGAAAATTAGAGTTTGCCGAACGACAGGATCAAGATGGGTATGCCGTGCCCAATTGGCTTTATCATCAAGAATTACCTTGCTAAATTAAACAAACGGCGAATCATTTCCAAAACGATGGAACAGGTATTCTGGAAACTATCGATTCTCGTCATGCAGAGATTAAAAACGGATAACGTTTTGAGCGTTGGGGAAACAATTGATAGCGAACGACAGGAAAGCTATCTTAGGATTTTATGAAGATTTTTTGTCGTTTTCAGAAAACTTTTTGTAAGATTTTATGGACAAATCAATGAAAATAAGAAAATAGCCTTTACATTAGAGTATTTAACAAAGCCTTCAAAAAACTAAGATAGAAAATGAGGATCCACACCAACATTACTCAAACAAGTGGTAACCATTGATAACAAGTGACAAAAGTACATTGCTCCTGGAGATGAAACATTAAAGAAAGGTTTTGAATGGATAAATATTCCCTTCTTCATTGCAGTAAGATTATCTTAATTGCTATAGTCTAGGGCAAAATTTAATTCCTGAAGAGCTATACAACTAATTCAAAATAATATATAAAATAAACCTGATAAATTAGGAGATGCCATGTGCTCAGAACCACTGGCACAAAGCGTAGGTCGGCAAACAGAGTTCATATTTCCTGTAAGCAATGCCAAAAGTTTTAGGAAGAAACCACATGAATCAAACTAGGAGGCACGGTCAGTGATTTACCAATATGCCCAGATTATAAATCAATGAAGGTTCCCATGCAGCAAAAAATAAGCAAGTGCCAAATTATATTTCTCCTTTTTCCTTTCTTTAACAATGGAAGCCGCCACCATTGGGATGAGAACTTACAAACAGCAAAGATTAAGCTGTTTGGCATGAGAGGAAGATTTTTATGCAAAGGCATTTCACCTTGAAACTTCTCTTTCTCCGCCTACATCCCATCCCTATTATCACCATCGTGAATTGTGTGAAACAAAAAATTGGAAATCAGGAAGATTAACATCCAAATGTCGGAGCCAATCGTCAGCAGCTTGCAAAAGATAATTTGCTTGCTGCCATTCATGGACTCCACTCGGAGTTAAAATTGAACCTCGCAGCTTATAGGAAGCAAGGCCAAAAACAGGTAGACTAATCTTGGAAGAAGCAACCATGTCATAGGCATTTCTACCACTCGGTGCGTCAAATTGTCCTTGATTCTTGCCTACAGCTGTCACAAAAAAGATGCATGAATGGAAGCTAGACTTATGTAATGCTATCAACTCATCGAAATTTGAGACACAACAGGGCGAGAGAAATGTACTTCTAGCATGTGAGGTTAATGAATGGAAGGTCAAAAAAGATGCATCCAGATTTTGTAGCGTTGGACCCATTGGTATTCTATATATTGGATACCTGCATCAAAGTTTCAAAGTAATACCGAAAAAAAAAAAAAAGAAAAAAAAAGAAAGAAAGAAAAAGAGAATGATTAAACCAAAAAAAAGAGAGAATGATTAGAATGAATCATGATTCAAACACCCAAAACTTGATAACATGATAAGGAAAAAGAAAATACCAAGCCACAGAAACCCAACTTGCAGGCAATAAATCACAGCTCCTAAGAGTTTTGATCTCTGGAAATTCAGATGCAAGAGTTGAAACCTGGAGAGGCCAGGGTAAAGTAAGTGCACACGGGAGAAAAACTGACAAACACAAACCTGAACATTTTAATATTCCTGAACATGGAGCCATGGACTTGCCTTATCATATAAAGGCTTCCGATGATGTGGTTGTTCCTGTTCCAAATACTCATAAACAAGCAGCCCATGTGAGCTGGAAATCTGAGTTTCATTGTTGAATGAACAATTAAGAGCTTTATCCCTCAATGAAAGTCTTTGCAATCCTTGTGAGTTTAGGTTCTTGAGATTGTCTAGACCCCACACTCCATCAACGCCAGTTTTAGCCCACTGTTCTGCTTCACAGTCACTGCTACCAGCACTACTTGTCTCCCTCGAAGACCTAGCATCACCATCATCACCATCCCTCCTAATAAAACACGAGGAAAATATCCATAAATAAGAAGTATCTTACAGTATTCCATGCAAACATAAACCAAATCCAGAGGAAGTAGTTGAATATTGAACATATGAAAGCTGTCTTGAACATGAAACACTACCCACAACACAGTTTATACATATACTTATTTCAACAGATTAAATGTCTATAATTTTAGAAGGATAATGAGAATCTTGACCACCAAATTGCTTTTGTGAACAGAAAGAATTGAAGAACAAAAGACAGAACAGAGCTTCAGAAGGTACAATTGATTTTCATACGGTTTTGATGAGGGACTTTATGTTTCTAGCTCATGTTTGGCATAAGCCTTCCTACATAAACAAACTACAGAAGATGACTGAACCTTTATTTTCTAACATTTTGAATACTAATGAACTGTACAAAATATCAAATTGTGGAGTAGAACAGCTGGGACCTGCAGCCTTACAGATTTCAACAGCTTGTCCTGCCAAGTTGCTTAGCTACTTGGATTGCCAGAAAAATAGTCACAATGGATTACTGGCTGGAACATGTGCAAGACAATGGCAATGTCTGATAGTTGTTGAAAATGCTCTCATGGAACTGATTTTGACATTTCATTGTCTTCTGTCTAGATATATAACCTCTATATCTTGAAGAAATGAGGCACCCATTGATAACTGATGATTTTGATAAACAACAGAATGGTGCAAATGGCTGGATAAAAATTCTACTAGAATTATAAACAGCAAGGATAAAGCTTGTGATTATAGCAAGCCAACCTCCCCATCACTAGTCCCAACTCCCAAGATATCTAATGCCAACCAAGTGGTTCAGAAGTCCTAACTTATAGAGCAAGCAGATGAGGAAAAGTTATTTCTTTCACATGGGTAAAAACAATTGGAAAATATGAACGGGTGAAGATTTTAAAATAATTGAATGATCACTAAAAAAATATGTAAAAAATATTATTTCAATCAGAATTCACCAGTGCATAAAACAATATTAAAGGATAGAGCATATCCCTAAATTATACCAAATGATACAACAAGGCTGCAGATGAAGAAAAAGTAAGAGGACTCATGGCACTCAAGAGGTGGTTGCAAGAAGGGCACATGAAAATAACAGAAAAACAAATGCTCAAAATGCAAACAAACACATAACAACATCATAAAAAGCTAGCCATAGTAAAAAATGAAGAAACATGACCATAAAATACATAGCATGAAAATTTTCAGCAAAGTATGCCTTAGGTTCAGTTCTAGAACTTGTTCTGATGATTCTCCACAGCATAATTTCAGCCATCATATTCAGTTATACTACACCTAATCCATCTGCAGCTAAATTTTCCTTTTTATTCTGTTAATATGGCTCACTGTGATTTTTAAGGTAAAAAGACCCGAGTTATATGGGCACTTTTACATTCTTCTTGCCCACTCTCAAATAAAAAACCAAAGAAGCTCAAGTTTGGTTTCACAATCCATCAAATCATAAACATTATTAAGAGAACAGGTAGACAATGATTTCTCAATGAAATCACTCACTCACAACTAAAAAGAATATGTACAATATTAATGGCATTGCTTTCCTGGCACAATTCAAAAGGCTCCACTTGTTAACAAACAGAACATGAGCCCTTCTGACTAGCATGCAGTGCAAGAGAGGGGAAATTGAGAACAAGTCTCGACAATTGTTTGTTTAAAAACCCATTACCACCGCAACAATTGGGAAAAAAGAAAGGAAAAGAAAAAAAGCAACAAAGAACTAAATAAAATACGAAGTAAATGCAAACAGGCTCACCTCAACCTATTTGGGTCCATATACAATTGTATGCCTGACAAGGATGGGACATAGTATTGTTTAACAGTTTCACTCCCACTTAATATTAGAGGCACTACCACTCCATATACACTCCACTCTTTGAATGATTCCCACAGATCCCCAAGGTAAAAGAATGGCTGCATATCAGCTTCACGAGCACTTCGACCCTGCAATCTTGCCTGTGGACCAGAGACTAAAAACTTAACGACATAAAAGTTGCCCAAGATTGTCAAGCAAATGTAATGAAATTGGAATTTTTTCTTTCCCCTAATGTCTACAAATAGCTAATTCTCCCTATTCCTTTTCCCTTTGTCCTCTATGGAATAAGTAAGAGTATCTGCACCAACAATAGAACCTGAAGAACTCTTTTCAGATAATAAAACAAAATGATTATTTTCAATTTTGATTAAAATACACAGATCTTAAGTGCATCTACATTTATTCGATTTGTTTTCACCAAGCAAAATATTTAACTCACATCAGCTTGATTGCCTATCCACCAAACAATATTAATTTAACAGATTCAAAATCAAAAGGCATACAAAATGCAAGCAATTTTGATATTCAGAACTCTCTTAATTGACCTGAATTTGCAATTTTTAAGCATATGAACTAGTGTAAGACTTCACATTCTCTAACTGAAAATTACCTTGTCAAAATAATGAGCAGGAACAACAGGAGTAACCGATTCCACAAGGCTATCTAAATTGGTCAGATTAAACTTAGTAGTAGGAGCAGCCGTCCCCGAGTTAGACATACACAATGTCGTCTCGTCCGACTCGACACGAGTCTGAAACTCTATTGAGTTGATTTTGTGTTCACAATTCAACGTCCTATGAAGTTGTTTCTGCAACAACATCTGGTGGTGGTGGTGGCGCCTCACCGCCGGCGGGTTATAGAAGCGGTCCCCAGGGTGAGTTCGTGTCACCGCATTAGACATTATTAAAATATAATTTGGGGGAGGGTTTTACTGGGGTTTTAAGCGAGGAATGGTGTAAAGTATTAAAAAGTGTGTGTAAGTAATGAGTATCTGCGTGTGTTTTGGGTATTTCTGTTACTGGTGCTATCCTGCTTGGTAGGTTTAGATTTGGACGAGAATAAGAAAGAAGTGTTATTGACTGGAAGAAGTAAGATGATGACAAGACCTTTCTCTCTGTTTTATGTTTGGCGAATTTTGCGACTTTCCGTTTCTCTGGGGTGGGGTTTAACGGTTGTGGAATGCCAAAATTGACCTCGGCAACCAAAATGGCTTTTTCAGCTTCTGTACTTTAAAATGGCAAAACTAGCCCTAAAAAACAAAACAACAAACTTAATTTTGGCCGCTTTGTTTGGCTGAAAGCAATATTTTTGTTTGGCTGAAAGCAATATTTTTTTTTCAGTAAATCGGTACTAAACTGACGATTCAACCGGTTTCGTCACTGAAAAACTGGTGACACGTGTTTTTCTTTTTCAAAAAAATACTTATGGCCGGTTTGAAAAAAATGAACTCTGAAAAAAAAAAATCCTAGAATTTATTTAGGAATTTAAAGTTTTGTATTTTGAATGAAAAAGAAAATAGTAATTTAAATACTACCAATTGAATTCTATAAGAATGAGTATGACCAATTCAAATATTATTAAAATTTATGGAATTTATAAATGAATTTCATGAATTTAAACATTAAATTTTATAAACTTTAAAAAATATACAAACTAAACACATAAATTCAATCTTGCTATTTTTCGTGGCACCTAAAATTTGGATATTGTAACATTATATATTTCTCCATACTAATAACGGTAATTTTTATGTGTAAAATATTAATTTGATAATGCGAATGGTATATATTTTTGAATAACAAATTTTTTTTATTTTTATTGCATAATAAATATTTAATTGATTCAATTTTATAAGTTTAAGTGTTTAATTATTTAAACTAAAGAGTCTGTAAATTGTAATTTTATAAGTTCAAGTAATCAACGAGTTAAAATAAAATTGAGAGTACTATAAAAATTTTTCGTAAAAAATATAAAGGTGAATTTCTATCTTTCATATCTCAAGTGTTTTATTTCATTTTGATTTCACTTATTAATTACTAATTATTAATTTTCTTTTAGTGTTAGAGAGGGAGATTTTAAGTTGAATTTTTCTAAGTTTGACATATATTTATTCATAAAAAAATTATAAACTTTAATATTTTTAACAATAACTAATATTAATAGTACGTGGCTCATATATGTTGCATTAATATTACTACGAAATTTATTAATAATTCAGTAAAAAAAAATTAGTGCTTCTAAGCTGACTTTTTTAAATATATTATTAATATATTAGATATATTATAATCTGGCCCCATTCACTTTTAGGCTAAATAAGTCAAATAGATAATATTATATCCAATTACAAAATGTTGTTATTTTTAACTAAATATAAAATTTAGATGTGTAACTGTTCACGTGATCAGCGAAAAGTTTCAAATTCGTACCCTTTATCAAAATGTCTTTTATCAATGGAATAGGTTAAGGAGACGGTTAATCTTTTTATGTAGCATGCAATATTATATAAACTTATCAAATCTCTTAATAAATAAAAAATATAAATTATTAAACTTCTCAAGACATGACAAATTAAATTATTTATCAAACTCCGATAGAAATTTACAAGGTAAGTTTAAAATAAAAGTAATGATTAGAAGAAATTTAATTTAAAGCATCCACCTTTAATATGGCAAATAGTGTGAATGTAACTGTATATATATCTAGCTCATTTAATTTAAATAATAAATTTCCTCTAATTCTATTATATCCATCCTCTTAATTCTTTAAGTTAAGTTTATTTTATTTATTTTAAAAATATATAAATATTGCTTAGTATTTACACCAAATAATAAGATAATTCAGTAACAAATTAATGCAATTAAGAATATATATTTATTTATATCCCCAATCCATGTGACTATGAAATGACATGTGGCAGTACTGACTACTAACTAGCAACAAACACATTTGCAGAGTGATATATATATATATATAAAAAAAAAAAAAAAAAAAAAAAAAAAAAAGAGGAAGAAAGATTGACCAGTTATAGTAGAAATTAATATAATCGGTTTGAAAGTTTCAAGCTTTTCTGCTTTTTCTCTAGTTTTATTTACTCTTATTGATAGTTTTGCTTGATGATGGCGGGAAGAAATTGACAATGTCAAAATTTGGGCTCTGAAAACATTGGTAACCATCACATTCACTGCTGGAAATTTTTTTTGAGCAGTTTAGAAATTTAGCCTGTGCCTTCAATTACTACGTACCCAAGTTTTTATGTTGCAGTTATCTTTAAATATGTGTACAGAAGGAAAATAATATGTGCAGTTTCATTTAATTAGTTTAATTAATTAAGTTTTCTTGGAAAATTACTCATGTAGAAAAATTACTTTTTCAGAAAAATATTTTGTTGTGGATGTTGATTGTTAGTGAAAAATAAATTTAAAAAATAACTTTCTTTGATGTAATATTAAAAAAAATTATTGTTTCACCAAAATATATTTTACTTAAATTCTAAAATTAAAGTTATGGAAGAAAATCAAAAATTAAAATATTCTGCCCAATTTTAATTTTATTTTTCTTTCTTTTTCATCAAAAGGTTATTTTTTATTGACTTATTTATTTTATTTAAGTATTCTGAATAATGAAGAATTTAGAGAAAATATTTTTAATAATTTATTTTTTAAAACAAATAAAGTCAATTTCATTTTAAAATGAAAAAAAAAAATATAAATTGGATAACTAAATTACATCTAAATTTAAATTTCAGATTTTCAAAAAAGTAAAATGAGTTTTAATTCCTGACCTATGAACTCCCTTTCATAAAAAAAAAAAAGAAAAAAAAACAATTTTTCTTTTCTTCTGTGTTCCGAGTTAACGCATCAAATTGGCATTTTATGGAAGTAGACGGTAATTAACTAAATTTAAATTTAAATTAAGGACTTTTAATTATTTTTTTGAAAATAATGAGATTTTAAAACTCAGCCCCCAATTAATCTGAACCCCAAGCAAGTCCAATGTTTATTTATTTATTTTTTTTTGAAAGGAAGTTCAATGTTGATTAAGTTTAAGGCATTTTCCTTAAAAAAAAAAAAAAAGCCGGCTTTGATTAACAATCGGCGATTCCTGATGGAACCACGTGCAAGCGAACGTTCGGCTAAGAAGTGATAGGCAAATTAGATGGACAGGGAAACGAAACGGCAAACAAAAGCCTCACATTTTGGAAGTCGGTGGTCATCAAATTGAAGTGTAATGAATATCCCCCACCCAACCCATTTCTCATCGATTTCCCTCTCTCTCTCTCTCTCTCTCTCTCTCGGATCTCATCGAAATTTCATTCTGTAGCTATCCTCCTTCCCAATAGCTTCCTGATTTGTCGCTCCCGAGAAAATTAACCAAACCCTAACTCCGAGCGTTCTATCTTTGGCTCACCCACGCATAACGTGGGCAAGCAAAAACACAGAGGAACGTATTCCTTCTGCCATGCGACTGTGGTTTTCTGCAATCTCCCTCTCGAGAGAGGATTCTTTTGTGTTTTTCTCAAATCTCCTAATGCTTTAAACCTTGATTCTACCGGATTCTGCAAGAAATGCCCACGATTCTCATGGCCCTATATCCCAGGGGTCTTCTCGCAATGCAAGGCGCTGGTGCTGCTGCCGGTATCTTTTTTTTCTTTTCATATTATTATTCTTCTTATGGTTTTGCCCTCTGCTTGATGGCCGGGGAAAATCGAAGAGAAAAGTTTTTTAATTTTTGTTAGTCAAAGGTCATTGCCAATTTGAGAATTAGGAAATTTGATTGTGCATTTCTTCCTAATATTTTTCTCCAGGCGATCTGATTCGCTGTTTTCTTACGGGGTATTATTGATGCAGGAAGATATATTGCTGCAACTTTTGTGTGTCCTTTAGATGTCACAAGACTAGGTTTCAGGTTTCATGGGCGCCGAGCATAGGGAAAATATTAAAGGTATGCTTGGTTCGCTTCACCTATTATATATATATATATATATTTATTCAATTACGTATTGAATGTCATAGTTGCCTGTGAAATTTATCCATATGAGCGCAAGAGTTTCGTGGATTTAGAATTTCTGTTCTATCAGACATCATTGTTTTTTAACATTGCTCGTGTATATTGTTTACTTGTTGAATGTTGGCATCGATTGAGCAAAATATTAATGAATCAAAATATTTTATTTCTCTCTTTGCCAGGAAAAGTCTTTATAGTTGGTTAGTTTGCGAACAAATATTCCGGACGAAGGCTTACGTGGCATGTATCGGGGGCCCTCGGCGTTCCTAAACTGTGCTGGGCGTTGCTTCCGTAATTGGGCAGTAGTGATTTTTCTTCCCGAATTTTTTTTTTTATTTAATTCATGCTGATTCCAGAAAAGAAAGGTTAAAGGAACACAATCAATTATTGCTTCTTTCTGATTGCTTTGTATGATATTGGTATCTGGTATGGGAAAAATTGAGTAGAAGGGAATTTTGCGATTCCTTGCTACTTGATCATAATAACTTTGTCTTGAAGTGTTTTTAATTAAAGTTATTATCTTGTTTCCTGTTAAGGAATTGAAGAAAGAAACACATTAATAATTTGAGAATTTTTAATTTATTATCCACTTTATGGAAAAATTGTGTTGACTTATAGAAAATTTGGTGCCTTTGAATTTTTTTTTTTTTTTAAGACATTACATTTTGATGTATTAAGACCTGACTTTTTCTAATTGAACAATTTGGATTACTACTAAGGGACACTGGTTTCCTTCAGTTAGAAGTTTGGAAGTTGAATCTCTTGGGACTAGGTGTATGAATACCCCATAGGAATTAATTTTTTTTAACTGCAAGAATCGTAGAATTGGAATAAACATGTTGAAAGGGGCCCTTATTATTCGACTAAATATTGGGAGATGCAAGGATGTTATTCCTTTGGCTATTTTTTGCAGTATAACTGATGAGTAGAATTTATGGTTTTGAGATAATACGGGAATGCCCTTGGACATATATGAAGAGAAAATGGGCATTTTTCTTTCAATGTAAAGGATTTTTTGAAGCATGATTTTTGTGGCTTACTGTAAATATGTTTTTTTATAATCCTCTAGCTTAATTAAAGGGAACCCTTTAATTGTCAAACCCTTCTAGCTTACAAAGGTGGCACTTCCATCTTTGGCA